GGGTATTGGCTCTTCTAGATTTCATCCTAGGTCAAGAAGTTTGTTGAAGTAGGAAAAAAAAGCGAAAATCTTGGGAGTAATGATCATGTCACTTTGAGATTCAGAATAATATAGAAATAGAAATTAAGTTGAGTGGAGTTCAGGGCAATTTCAGCAAAGAAATTGCTAGATGAAATCCCATTGACTACAACCCATAAATAAAAGAAAATGCTAAGAACTTCTCAGAAACAAAACATTGAAAGAAAATTTTCATATAATTCCCATGAGGAAAAATGAGAAATTAAAGAAAATATTGAGGCTAATAAGGAATTTTCAGCTGTGCTAGGTTTTAAAAGGGGCATGTATAGGAAATGGAATGTGTGGAAGTAGTTAACATTAACAAAAAGTGTTTTTTTTTTTAAAAAAAAAGCTGAGAGTAGTAAAATGAAGGATGAAAGAGCAATGGGCATGCTACCAGGATAAAAGTAGATGATATCGGGCAGATATCAGGCAGATCACAATGGGAACTGTGCTTAAACTAATTTAAGCAGAATAGTTAACAAGAGAGTAGCAATCCAAGTTTAAAAAAGAGATGTTTAAAAAATACCTGGCTATAGTGAATAAAGTTATTTCAAGGATCTTGAATGAGTTGCAAATGTCAGTGTGAAGTCTCTATGATGTTTGAGAAATCATAAAAGGCAGGCATAATGCCACAGAATCACACATTGGCAAGTATTGTTCCAGCTATAAAAGATAACCAATTTAATTATAGACTGCTGAACTGATAATGAACAAAATTATGACATAGATTAATAAACAGCTTGTGAACCTTTAGAAAATAATTTATTGCTTAATAAGTTCAGCATTGATTTAGCAAGAAAAAATCATTCCAAATTAATCTAATTTAATTTTGTTATATTAGCCATTATGCATCCAGCCCATTGTGCCCTACCCAAACTGGAAAGGTAGACTAAAAAAATTAATTCCTCATTTATGTACATAAGCAAAGAGAGTACCTCACCTTGTAGAGGAGCACCTTAGAATGGTGGAGAATTACTTTATATATTGAGTTCTTTCATTGATTAACATCATTTGAAACATTTCTGACACAATGCACATATTCAGGTGTAACATGTAACATTCCATGGTTTCTTAGTATGATCTTATTAATACTCATCTAGATATTCAAGACATATTTTTCTCACACTATAATGAGTTTGCAAGTTACTAAAATTCAAGTCAGTGTCCTTGACAGATTTGAGCCAGTTCTTATCAGACTCTACATTCCTCATGGAGAGTTTGCTTTGTTACTTCAAAGACTTTGTTACTTCAAGTAGAAACACTAATCAAAGAACCGCTAGTTACTGAAAACTTCAATCAAAGATGTTACCCTCTGTTCAGTGGGGAGAGACAATAAAATGCCCAATTTAACTGAGTACAGCAATAGAGTGGACCTCTAAATGCAATGCATTTGATAAAACCATGAGATTCCAGGAGAAAAGACCAAAATTTGACTAAAACACATAAATGCAGAGCTAGATGAGCAAATATGGTGGTTTCAGATCAAACTGGAAGGTGGTAAGCAAATGCAATCCTAAACTGCATTAACAGAAATATTATACCGAGATAAGGAAAATTTAATTGTCCCTTTATATTTTACATTAATCATATTATAGTTAAATACTGAATCCATGTCTAGATACTGCATTTTAGGACAAACATTAAGAAACTGGAATGTGTTCATCAGAGACCAATCAAGATGGTAAAAGTCTTGTAAGAAAAAAAAATCAGATATATTTGGTATATTTAATCTGGAAAAGAGAAGGTTGTAGGAAGACCTGACTGTTGTTTTCAAGTATTTGAAGGACTTTATGTAGAACATAAGGCAGAACTATTCATAATTGTTCTAGAACACAGGAAAATAAATGGTTTATTTTTTTAAGGAAGTACATTTTATTTGGACATAAAAATAAAAATCCTAATGGTAAAAGCTGTTCAATGTTGTGATAGTCTGCTTCAGAAAGTAGTGCATTTTCCTTTGGTAGTTGTATTTCAACAGGTGCAGAATTGCCATCTCTCAGAGATTCTATAATAGTGGAGTCCTGCATTTGGCAGACATTTGGAGTAATTCTACAAGATTTATTGGGTTCTATGATTCTACAAGTCTCAGCTTAAATTTCTATTCCCTACTATAAGGATAGATAGAAGGCATACTAGTAGAAGAAGCCACCCAAACTGAAAACAAATTCCAAATCATTTCAAACCACCACAATGTATTTGGAAGGACTAATAATTTTTAAAACTCCTATAACTATTTACCTGGGTGCTAAGTTCATTACATTTCATAAGAATTACTTCCACACAGATGTGCATGGGATTTGTGCATAAATGTACTGTATGTACATTTATTTGTTTGTTTTTCTCCTGAATGATTGGATGGTTGGTTGTTTAAAAAAAGTATACTTAACAAATCTGTTCCAGTAAGTGTGAAATTTATCCCTTTTTATAATCTATATACCCTTCCCCGCTATCTCCCAAAACAGTACTGGAAAGTTGGAAGAAATCAGATGTACATATCTTCTAGTGCAAGGGTGTCAAACTCAATTTCATTGAGGGCCACATCAGCATTGCAGTTGCCCTGGGGGGGATGCAGCCTACTGGGTTGGTGTGGATGGAGTGGGTGTGGCCTCCTGGGTGGGCGTGGCCAGCTCTACATCATTCGTGTCAAGGGTGCCTGTGGTGGCCTGGGCAGGAGTGGGACAGATCTGAGGGTCTCTGGCAGAAAGGGGTGGCACCGGGGCAGAGCCCATCAAGCCGGATATGTGAAGTAGGCGAGGGCCATTTGCTGGCCACTTCCAAGCGATGGTGCATTTCTCCATTCCTCACAAAGGGTGACATCTCCCCAGCATGCATCTAGGGGACAGGGCCGATGCGGCAGGGGCTGGTTCCTTGCTGTTTCCAGATGGCCTTGTGGAGCTAAGACTGAATGCATTTCAGCATAGATGGCCACCACAAAATTGTACATTGGCTCCTGACTGGCCTGGGCCAGGGCGAAGGCAGCGGGGGCCATTCCCTCACTGTTTTCAGGATGGCTTCGTGGGCCACATGAAACCACTTCGCAGGCCACATCTGGCCCCTGGGCCTTGTGTTTGACATGTCTGTTCTATTGCATTTGATAATCTTCTCTTAGTTTGTAAGTATATTAAAAAATTTAATTCTGATTAATGTGAAAGATACACCTTTAACTCTTTAGTTCCAATATAGTAAAATGTTCAATTTAATGTACCTATATGTTTGTGTGTCACTGATACTTTATGTTCTTTATGTTGCATGGTAACAAAAAAAACCCTATTAAACTTTAAAAGCTATATCATTTCAGAGTTGTTGTTCATTTATAGATTTAATTTAACATTCCTAAATCTACAATATAACATTATTCTGAAGAAGGTGACCTATTTCCATTGTGGCTAATAAATAAGACACTAATATTCAAATAGTTATTTGCAATATTTTATATTTATAGGTGACCTCTTTAATCCTGGACACCCTCCATATTTGTTCAAAAAAAATGAAACCTATAAGATGCCACCATCTATAACAAATCTGAAGATTGAGTTATAACCCTAATGTTCTGTCTGTTGTTAAATTGCCATTCTGTGTGACGTTTTGTGTCGTGTTATTTTGGTATTGTGTGTGTGTATGTCCCTAGGGTCTGCCAGGCTTCCCCACAGTTGCCGCCCTTCACAGTAATCAGATCCTCACCGTCAAGGTTTGTGGCCAACATGCATCAGCTAGGCAGTCTTTCTATATCAGCATAAAGATGTCATGGATAATGAATTTGCTGTCAGAAGCTGGTCAATTCACCTGATCATCCCTTATATGATCTTTATTTCTTCAATAATGTTGCATTGCAGAGGGATTAGTCAGAACTGCATTAGATAAACCCAAACTTACATGGTGATATTTCTGTAAATACTTTTAATGGCCAAAACAGAGCATTCATAAAACAATCACAAAGATTAAAAGAGTGTATAAATCTTACTAATAATATCCACCATTTATTTTGTCGGTGGTGACCTAGTCACATACCCTTACATTCTCTAAAAATTAATTAATTATGATTTTACCTACCTAGGGACCAGCAGGCCATTATGCCTATTTAAAGGTCCTATTGCACCTGGCATCATATGCTATTTGGAAAGTCTGACTAAAGCTGAACTGGTGCTTTGTGTCTTGGAATCTTTGCTCATGATGTGAAATAAAAACATTTCATTTTGATCTTCCAGTTGCTGAAGAAATATTTTAAAATTTGAAGTCCAATTAGGAGTTTTGAGAGCAATATCGTGTTACCGCTTATTTCATATAAGGACAACACCATGGAGGCTCTACCTCCCACTTGTGCATCTGTGCGATAATTCTAAAACAAAGCATAGATTCTTTTGATAGACAGAAGCACCAGTTGGAAGTTATATTTGCTATTACAAGTCTAATGTATATCTTTCTATTTCTTCTTTGGTGCCTTCTGATGTCTGTTCTTCAATTCTTTCACCTCTGCACTTCAACCTTTGACCTCACCTGCCTGATCAGATGGTGTTTCCTAAAATCAATCATGGGTTTCTCTCTGCTGATCAGCAGCTCATTAAACGCCGCCTCATTAAGGTAGTGCTTCATCTCTCTCTGAACTTTTCCCATTCTCTTGCTTGCAGCTGATTGCTAAATTATAAATATTGATGAAGCTTTTTTTGAACTAAATTACTATTAATGAAATGGATATTTACTTTTTTTTAAACAGCTACATAAAATTCATGGGGTTTCATTATATAGTACTAATTAATTTTATCAATTGTCCTGTGTGGGCTTATTAATTTTATTGGAAATTGGATAAAACAGTATTTTTGAAGGAAGAGTGATTGTTAATTTAACAGTTAATTACTCAGCATGATGCATTGTGAAGTGGATAGACTGATGTCCCTCAAGTTGATGTTCTTAATTGTACTTATAAAAAAATTGCTTAAAAAAAGAAATTAAATAAATATAAAGCTATCTGACATAAAGCTTAAAAAATGTACAGATTTCAGCAAGAAGTCATATTTCACTGCCCCCTTAGATGTCAATCAGTGCTCACTTGCTGAATCTCATGAGCTAATTTTGTAACCTATCATAAAAGTTTTACAACCTCCATTTAACTCTAATTGCTCAACCTTTAATATAACATCCAAAGAAATGGTTTTCTCCCTACAGACAAATATCTGTGAAATTTGGGAGCAGTAAATCTGATATAATCTTTTCTAGATATTCTTCAAATGCAGAACTTTCACAAGATCATTGTAGCTTGTGTCATGTACAAATGGAGAATATTTTTCCTGCACATTCTCTGTTACTTGCATGTTAAAAGTGTGCTTACTTATGGTTTAAGAATGCATTGCTTTATTATATTTGTGAATTTTGTCACTTTCCAATCAAGATGACTGATGCTGTTTTAAAATAGCTTCAGAGGCCACAAAGAACAGGAAGTCATAATCCAACAGAACTTTTAAAAAGGATAACTGAGGCCATGTTCTTGCCTAAAAGGAGTAGCTATCAGCATCAAGTGATCATGCACAATTAATGCCAATCAGTTGTTTAGGAATTGTAGGCCTAAATCCAATTCCTTCTCTTTTCTGAGAGGTAACCAGTTTTTTGTTATAAAAAAAAAATAGGAGGGAGGGAAGGAGGGAGGGAGGGAGGAAGGAAGGAAGGAAGGAAGGAAGGAAGGAAGGAAGGAAGGAAGGAAGGAAGGAATGGGTCAATGTTCCTTGCCAGCTTCCAACAAGGAAAGTCAATGGAAAAAGGCAAATCAAGTCACTCCTGTTCCTGCATCAACTGATGATCCCTCTGTTTCTCTGTTTAGGTAAGATAATATCTTTGAAATGGTGACCCTGCATGTCACAGGTTGTCTAGTATATGATAAATATGAGTACTTAGTTATACACATAGATTGACTAAAATCCTTGTCAATCAATTATTTTGACCTTTTTTTGTATGCATGATTTCTTGAACATTATTTATTATACTGGATTGTTTGAACATATTAACATTGGTCTTATTGATGGATGTTCAGGGTGATCAAGGGCAAGTTGGACCTCCTGGACCTCCTGGACCCCCTGGACCAAGAGGACCCCCTGGAGATACTGGTAAAGATGGGCCACGAGGAATGCCTGGGGTGCCGGTGAGTCAGTCATCATAGATATTACACATCATATGCATCATACATTAAGATCACTGGTGTAGATAGGGAATTAACTAACTTGTTTCATTTCAAAATATCTACCTGAAAAGCAAGTGCTGGACTTAGCAGAGCTGATGAAAACTTTTTTTTAACAAACCTTTTAGGGTTAATAACCTTTTGCTGAAAAAGAAAGAAATGATACTTTGATATTATTTTTATTTCTCCAATAAAAATTATTATAGCACAGTGATACTATAATAAAATACTATATTAAATAATGGCAAGTTATTATGTTAACTTCTTTACTTTTTATTTTTTCCTATTTTTTAAATCATAGTTAATGGATTTTTTTTGTTAATGAATAAATAGCTCTATGAATGCATGCATCATAGGATAACAATTTAAAAAAAACTATTCTGGTTATGTTTTATACAGATTGTAATAGTTGATTAAAATTTTCAGAGCCTTGTATGCCAGAAAAAAACCTCATAAATTCATAAATTGATATAATTAAAACCAATAAATACCGATCACCAAGAGGAAAGTAGTAAAAAATTTAATGAACCGAGCTTTCGTTGGGATCACCAAACATCATCAAGGCTTTAAAAGTAGTCACTGGAAAAGAGCCTTTATATGATGTTAGCACCCTGTATCCGGCTTCTAGAACGTGTTATTGGACCCAGCTGTTGGTGCTGTATCTCAGATGCTTACCTACGTCAATGTATGATGTTTTCCCATATCTCCTCCGTGTTTTACCGTAAGTGTTCTCCTTGTTAACCCTATGGGCAGAGGGAGTTTTTTTCCCTTTATATATTAATGGTAATTCTTCCCCTCACCCCTCATCCTCGTGTATATGACACCATGCTTTGGGGGGGTGCAGTTCTTCCTTGATCTCACTGTCAAATTCCTCCGTCTCTTACAACCGCGATCCAAGTGTGCTGCCTCCTCTTTGCTATGTATTCCCCCATTCATGGACGGGGGTGATCGGTATTTATTGGTTTTATTATGGACTTACCCAAGAGTCAAATTTTTAGCTTTATAACTCATCAATTGATATAATTATAATTAATTTCTATATTAAATTCATATATTTAAGATCTATCTAGAAAAGTTTTTCTATGCAAAATTACATTAAGAATTTTAATCTTTTACCAGTTACCAGTCCAGGAAATTAGTGTTAAAGGAAATAGTACTGTGTTCTCCTATTTTGTAAGAATAACCTTTAAGGAAATATATGAACTTAATTAAAACTATCTGAAGAGAAAGAATATCTAGGAAACTATTCCTACATCTTTTATTATTATAATTTATACTATAAGTAATTTTATGATTACTCAGTTGACCACATTAAGAAATAATGGGTGCCAGCCACAATAAAATAAGATAGAATTTGATAAGACAAAACGAAATAAAATAAGAAAAAACAGAGTATGACAAGATAAAATAAACTGAAATAAAAAATAAAGTGGACTAAAGGATGTGCCCTAGAATTTTGTGTTTGAGTGAAAAACTGGCTGTTTAGCAAAATAGAAGCCAGACAGTCTGGATGATTTTACTTTATTATTTAACACCTCATTAAAAATGTGGATACAATTAGAACACAGCAAAATTCAATTAAACAGTATAAAAATTTGATTAAACAATCTAATCTATCAGAGCCCTGGAAGTGTGCCATTCCAAAATTCCATAAAGATCTGGTTGTTCTCCCGGGCCTAAGACTAGGATGGTTGGTGCCCTTTTCTCTGGATATTAGACATTGGTGGAAATTTGGGGGGGGTGGGGGTTTGATTCCCTCCTTCTACATAAGGTTTCTTGTCTGCTTTTTTTTCCTGTTATCTTGTTTTATCCTTGTTAGTGTATTTTGAGTTGGACAGAGTTTAGGACACATACAAAAAAAGCATGAGTGCAGTAACTTTTCCCTTTGGCAATGTAAGACCCCTGAAAGCATCATATAACCTTTACAGTAAATAGCTATTAGTGGATCTATGCTGGTATCATTTTTGTCTATTCATCTCCTTTTTAATTATATATTCTATAACATTATTTTGCATTTAAGGGAGAACCTGGAAAACCAGGTGAACAAGGTTTGGTGGTAAGTATGTTTATATTTTCATTTTCTGTTTGGTAGAAGATATATTCTCATTACCAGGATAATTGTTCATTAAATATATTTGCTTCCAAACCATGTAGTTTCACAATGACATGCAACAACGTGAAATGACATAAATGTGAAAAGCGTTCATTAATAACAGTAATAATAATTTTAAAAATCCAACGTCATTAATCTAATCATATAATACAAATTCATAACAAATCAAAATAAAAGTAATAGTACTAAAGAGCATAATCTAAAATACTGGGGCTGAACAATGATAGGCCAGAAATCTTTAAAAACATTCAGGCTTCACTACATTTCAGAAGGCCATCTGAAGCCAGGATGCTTTCTAGAAGGACCCTGTTCTAGAACAAAGGTGCCATAACTGAAACCAACAATTTCTTTCCTCAAAGGAAAATGTAAAATGTTCAGTAGTTATGTTTGGCAAATTAAAGAAGTGATACAACTTTTTGTTTCTGCTCATTGAAAAAGATTAAAACAACATCTATCTATCTATCTATCTATCTATCTATCTATCTATCTATCTATCTATCTATCTATCTATCAAATTTAGGTACCACCCATCTCACACTCAAAGAGTCTCAGGTATAACATTTATACATGAGATGTGAAACCATGTAGTGAAGAATGATATTTCCTCACTTTTGAAAAAAATATTACTTTTATTTAGCAGAACAAATAATTTTTTAACTCTTTGGACCTAAACGTGATTCCAAATTTATTAAATATATCAGATTTATAGTTTTTAATCCTTCACAAACTCCATATGTTATCAGATTTTTACTTGTTACTAAAAACATTTACAACCAGGGTCTTCCAGAAATCTTTAGAATACAATTCCCAGAATTCATATGCTGCCTAGAACTTGGAGTTGTTGCCTAACATATTGTTAGGCGCAAGAACCAGGCATAGGAGTTGAGCTCAAGGCACTAAATGTTAATAATAATAATAATAATAATAATAATAATAATAATAATAACAACAATAATAATAATAATAATTGGAAGGACTTTGGAGGTCATCTAGTCCAATCCCCTGCTCAGGCAGGAAACCCTATACCATTTCAGACAAATGGCTGTCCAAATGGCTGTTTATGACATGGAACCTATACACAAGAATCTGATCTATTAACGATCAAGCCAAATTGGCAACAGAATTCATAGGGGACTGGACTTGGGATTTCTTGTGGGAGTGTAGCGATTCCAAACTTATAACACATTTGATCCTGCCTTGGGCTCAGTCTACTGAACTCCTACATATATCAAGAGGATGTTAAATTGCGGAAGGCATTAAAGAACTGCTTCTGTTTTATTGTTTTTAAACTTCTTTTTCTACAAGAGGTATATCTTCTGCTACCTGGTAAAAATGGAGAAAAACTGCTGATTCCCAACATAAAAACAGAATTTTCAGTCATATGTTTATTAAGGGACATTGAAATTTGATAACAAAAAGTTTTGTTTGATTGCATTACCCAACAAGTTTAAGATCTTGTGCTGAATTTGATACCTTCAGGAGATCCAGAGCACTTACTTATAAAACACAGGACAACTGTCCCTGTTCGTTTAACATTGGGTACCATTTCTTAACAGCATGTTAAATTGTTAGAACTATTATTAAAATATTGCAAGAAAACCAAATAAACCAATAACAAAACAAAAATGCAAGAACAAAATATGTAAAATGCTAAAATACATTCTTTTAAAATGTTCCTTCCACAAAAGCTGCAAGATATCCATGCAACATACTTGTTAAAAGTAGCGTTGTATCCTCTGCTGTTCACCTAGCCTGTCAAGTCAGTTTGTATATATATTAATAGATTGCATTCCTTTGTTCTTTCTAAACGTCTGAAGAAAAATAGGCAGGAAAGAAAGTTATAAATACGTGATAAATAAATAAAATGCGAAGTCTTCATGATTTGAAGCACTAAACCTCTTCTATGGCCATCTAGAGAGTTTCCAGAATATAGCTAGTGTTTGACTCAACTCACTCAGCTTCAGGTTCACAGGGCAAGGAACACATGTCAGTATGAATAAATGGTGAAATGCATTCTGAGGGTGGTTTTAATTACAGTTGGCATATTCAGCCACAACTGCTGCAGGCAGCCTTTTTGCTGAAGAAAGACCTTTTTTTAGTGTATATGATTCATTTCCCTCTGGGAACAGAAAGAAAAATATGTCACTATTATGTTATAATATTGTAATAAGTGAAAAGGTTATTTTTAGAGAACCTACTGTATTCCAAATCATGCACAATAGTGCATTGTTTATTTTTATATTTAATTAACAAGTTTTATCTTGCTCCTTAGTTAAAAGAGCAATCATAACAGCCTAAATAAATCCCATTTTAAGAGACAATCCTGATTTGCAGTTTTCTATAAGCCTTCAGTCCACACATAATACTAAGGTAAACGGTGCCCTAATTCTGTATTTAATTCATGAAAGTTCTGTTTTCTTCACTGCCTTCATATTACCTATTGCAACCTCCACTATTATTTGATTAATAAAAGGTAAACTTTTCCTCCTCACTTTAATTGCTCACATTTATGGTTGAAATACTTGGCCAATCAAGTTTATAATGTGGAAGTTTATAAAAAAAATTTTTTACTAACAATTTTGTTTGAACAGTGATACAGTAACACAGAGAATGGGTATAATATAGAACAGTAATGGCAAACCTTTTAGAGACCAAGTGCCCAAACTGCAACCTAAAACCCACTTATTTGTTACTGGATGCCGGGTGGGTGTGGCCCACTGGGTGAGCATGGCTGTGGTGGTCATGGCAGACTGGGTGGGTGTGATTAAGGTGGGCATGGTCACCTTGATGTTGCTCAGGGGGAGGGATGTCTGTGGGGGCCGGGCAAGGTTCAGGGAGATCCAGGAGGTCTCTGGCAGGTGGGGCAGTGGGCAGGAAACTCGTTCTGCGGGGCAAGGCAAAGCAGGGCTGGGGTGCCATTGTCTCAGGGCAAGGCGAGGCAGGGGCGAGGGCAGCTGCTGCCTGACACCATCAGCCCCCACACACAGAGGCCAGTGAGCGCATGGGAGCCAACAGTGTCTGTCAGCATCCACAGCCTTCCGGTCCCTCGACCAGCACACTCTGGGGCTCCGCAGCCCATTGCCAGCAGTTCAGAGAAGCCGCCTCTGAGCTGGACAGATGGCCGACAGCTGAGGAGGTGATGCAGTGGGTCGTGCCCAGGAAAAAGGAGAGCATGCAAGGCCAGGAGGGATTAGATAGGGGGGAGGGAAACCAGCCATGCTGGGATGCATCCAGCCACGTGTGGGCAAGTTAGCAGGTGGCTGGTTGAAGAGGGATGGTTGCCATCTCCAGGGCATGGTGCATGTGCCCACAGAGAGGGCTCCGCGTGCCGCCTCTGGCACACGTGCCATAGGTTCACCACCACTGATATGGAAGATAACCAAAGAAAAAGAAAGGGGTCTAGAAGCCATAATTAATATTCAGGAAGAGAAAAATACCTATTGTATTTTTGCAAAACTTATGTTTTCCCTAATGTACGAAGCATCAGTTGACTTTGACTCAAGATAGACAGTTGCAGAATAGGGCATGTTTTTAATTAGTTATTTTAATTTTTTTTAAATTAAATTATTAATTAATTAATTTTAGTTAGTCATTAAATTAGTTAAATTGTCTACATTATTATGTTAATTCCATTGTTCTCCTTTTTAGGGACCTCAGGGACCTCCAGGACAAAAGGTATAGTATACAGTACACCGTGATAAGAAAGATTTTTGCTGCCTAGTGCCAAGATACAATCTGGTGGCATAAAGGGCTTTCACTACTGTATCCCACATACTCTAGCAGATGTTCAGTCCGTGAGCTCTATTTTATAAAGGAAGAAGAAAAATCTCAACTCCTCACCAACCCACTTAGTTATAGAGATGAGGCAATGTTTCCTTTTACTCTGTTAGCTAAATTTACCAGTTAAAGAAGCTGCTATAATTGATAAAATAATGAAACCAAACTCTGAATATAGTGGGAAATGCAGCTTGAATTTCATTTGGCCTTTGAATAGATTGCTGCCATATGATGTAAAAAAATAAAGAGAACAAAAAAATTCTAGGTGTTGTTGAAATATGGATTTTTGATTGCTGGCCACTATAATTTGATTTCTATAGTAACCAGAGAACTGACTTCCTGTGAATGTTTTCAATATTATTTACATTCATCAGGACTGACAATGAAAGAGTGAATTCACAATTTATGGGCTGCAGCATTGCACCAGTACAAATACGGCAGGAATAAAAAAACATTTCAAACGAATTTTCTGAAGCAGCTGCCTGACAACTTATCCCCCTCTCTCTCCATCCTTCACCAACTAAATCGTTTTGAGCACTGTTTCTTTAGAATAAAATGTTATAATTGACATTTCATAAACTGTAGAGGTTCAACAAGTAATTAAAGGAAACTAAAATATTTGTTACTTGTAAAATGGGCAAAACTTCTGATTATAACTGGAAAGCAGTATTTTCTTTTTTAAAAAATACAAAATAAAATTATAAGATATTATTATAATAGCATAATGCAATCGATGTGGTTTGTTTCTTTCTAGTCTCTTTTCTTTAAGTTTAGTTTATATTAGATTCTACTTATATTAAAATATATAATTTTAATATATTTAATATAATTATATAAAATTATAGTAAAAATTCTTAATAAAAATTATTCAGTAATGTATCTACTTTTGGCATGCAGGCTCTATAGCTGTTCAATAGATTGTAATTAAGCCTGGAATTATGGTCATACATCATTGTGATTGTAAGTTGAGGCATCATGTGATTTTATCCAATTTTTCAATAGTTTTTTCCATGATCATTAAGTGAACTCTGTGGGCATTAAGTAAATGCTGTGGTAATTAAGAGAACAATTTTCATAGGTGATTTTCATTCATAAGTGATTTTTTTGTTTCAGATTAGACCTCAAAACCTTTCAACAAGTAGCAGCACATTGAATGGATCAAATAAACTTGATTTATTTTCTTTAATAGTATTATTTAAAATGGGCATGTGTGATTGAGTTCAGTATTTTATAAAAAAAGGCAAGGAGCATATTGATAACATGTAGATGATAACTATATTCAAAATTAGAGGTATTTAAGTAATTCTGTAAAAATAAAATATGGAATATATTCTAAAACTATGAGAAACTTTTAAATATTGAATTCAGTTTTAGCACACAAACTTTGCTTCATAATTCTGAAACAGAATACACAACAATAACGTAAAAAGGATAATACTTTATATTTAATTTAAAGAATAACACTATTGAAAGCTGAATGTATAAATCAAATCTCATAATTTACAAAAGATAAACATCTATAGTGAAGTATTGCATGATCTGTTTGATAATGTTGCTAAATTCAGATATATGATTCTCTTCAGGGCTCATTTGGTGCACCTGGTATCCCAGGAACAGATGGACAACAGGTAAATTACTATTGTTTTTAGATGTAATCCTAATCTGTTTAGAAATTACTCTAACTGAATTCAATGGCTCTTACTCCCAGGATATGATTGCTATTTTACAATATTATTTTTGCAAATCCATGAAATTAAGACATTTTGTCTAACATAAAAGCAAAAAGTAGGTCCATAGTTTGTCTTGGCCAGAAAAGTATATACAAATGATAAACACTGTGGCACAAGAGACAATAAACAATGTCCAACTAGAATGACTGCAATCCAATACAACGTTCCATGTGTATAAAACCAAATAAAATTAATGGAGCTTAGAAAATACAGTGTTGCTCTGTGGTTTAAACTTTTATTGATGACCTGGAGGTTAGAGAGCAAAGTAAGAAAGACGAAGAACAATGAATCCCTCCTGTGGGGATGGCAATGAGGGGAGAGCAGAAATCAATGCATTTGGCAGAAAGCAAAACTAGAGATCAGTTAAAATACAGCTCCATGAGAAAATAAGTGAGAGATCCTAGGTTCTTGGTAATTATCTTTTATCGAAAAAATGTGATAAAGGCTTAGTGAGAATTCTTTAATGTGGTAGTTCACATTACATTTTTCTTTGTTGTTTCACAGCTCTTTTGACTGGCAATCTGCATTAAAACTTAAACTAAACTAAGATAAATATTTCAATCCAACATTATATATAGAGAATAAGTCCCTCCAGTATTTCCAGTAATTTTATGTTTCTTTAAATTTTCCTAATAAAATTAAGTTATTGCAACTTCCACAAGGACAATCTATCCCCAACAACAATAGTTAAATTCTCTTAAAATGTGTATGAGAATTTATAGCAATTGGTGTGTCATTCTTGGCTGATCAGATTGGTATTTTAATAACTTGCATCTTAGATAGAGTGATTTTTAAATCATGGGCCTCATAAAACTGTATTATTAAAGATTAACTTAGCATGAATAAAAACATTTGGCATAGCAGAATTTCTATAATGAATGTACAAACTGTTGTCTTCATAGATACTACTTCTTTTTAAAATATTCATCAGTTTACATTGAAATACATAAAATAGCCTAAACTTTGTTTCCTTCATCTATTCTTTTAATCCAAAGACTTTTCACTTTTGTGCTTATAATAAATTAACTATGGGTATTTCTGCAGATAGCTCTGTTCTGATGGGCAATATTGTAACACGATGTCATGATGCCTGTCTTCCTTAATGAATGCCTACAGATAAAGTGTGTGTGTGTATATATATATATTATTCTGGGCATTGGCTACTGGAGGGGATGCATTCTGGTGTGAAGAGACTCAGCTACATTTTCAACTGGCCAACTCCAAATCCCCAAAATGTTAGGGAAAACCAATCCAAAAATGCTAGGGAATTTCTGGAATCTTGGTATTCAGACAAAACAACCATCAACAGATATAGATAATAAATAAACCATATTTAGAAATAAACCATATTTACAAACCAAAAGAGACAACAAAAAACTAAGAAGGAAACAAAAGACCATAATACATCCCCTCCAGCAGCCAACACCACCATAAGAAGGGATTAACACTAGACAAACAATCAAACAGAATATAATACCCCAATCAAGGACCCACCAAGAAGAAAATGACACCCCAACCAACATCGGCATGATGAGCTACTGTTTGCTACTGTATAGCAAACCCCACACTCATCAGCCATGTTGAGTGTTATCTAGTTGGGTAATGAAATGACTGCAAGCAAACAACCAGGTACAGAGAGCACCAATGACTTCATTAGTTGTTTTCTCCTGTGAACATTTTTCAGTGTTAACTCTGTTTTCTGTGACCTATAACTAGATTGCTATGGACAATTTGAAACTTTAAACTTTCTCAACTCAAATCTCAAATTTCCTTATGAGTTTGTGTTTCAATATTAATTAGATGTTCGGATGCATAGGAGTATATATTAAAATCCTTTGGGTTTGGTTTTGTTTTGGCTTTTTTTTTTTTTTTTTGGCCAGGCAAACTATTTCTTTGCCACATTAAACTAAGGGAGAGCTTATACTGACAAAAAAATAGTGATGTGGGGGTCTTTTTAAATCTTAAATCTTAAGACTTCTGTGTTTGGTAGCAGCTTTGCCTTTCTAAGACAGTGCTTTGCTGTTATTTAATTATTTAATCTTTCAGATAGGATGGAAAGTTACGTTTTTGCCAGTTTCATGACATATGTGATATTATTATGCAGGATGTAATGCCAGATGAAGCGGAAATAAGTTTAGTTCCATTGTGCATTATGGATGCTGCTGCTGTGTATTCTCACTTTAGAATTAAGATCTTTTGAGGAATCTGTAGTTCTTTCAAAATAAGATTCTGTAAACTAAAACAGAACAAAGCTCAGGAAAGCTTGGTTCTATATTTCTAAACCTCTCCATGTATATTTGCTAATATTCACTGTAGATTAGAATACACAGAAACTGCACTTGGAAGACTAAATTAAAAAGCTCAGTATTCTTCAAGATTCTTGAGCATTCCTATGAAGTTTAACAAATGGACCTCTCAAATGAACAATGGTTACTGAATTTATGATATGATTGAAATGATGCCTTTATGTCAGTTTACTATATATTTAAGAGTACATAGATTAAAATATTTTAGTACAGAAAAAGATGTAGACATGAAAACAAAAATTTGATATTGCCTAATATCAAAAATTATTTGCATTGTTTTACATAGATGTACATTGCCCAGTATTTCATAGATATATTTAAGTGTGACCCAACCTTAACTTGTTCTGTGTGTAACATAAATTTTGACTTACTGTACTATTAAAATGATGCACATTGGCAAGGCAAATTCTAAAATTGATGCACATCACAATAAATCATTATGCTGATTAATGTAGCACATTGGATTAGCATGCTTTATTCAAATGAGGTTGGACCAGTCTTTTTCTCTTTGTTTTGATTATCTCATAAAACTGTTGTGAGAGAAAGATGAGCAAGTGCATCAATTAGTCATAAATAAACTCATGCATATGAAAAATATAGTTGCTACTGGGTTCCATCTATATAACCATAGTAACTGTGTTCATTTTGTGCATCGTTTTGACAATTGCCCAGAAAATATCTTGCTGCATTCTTGTTTTGCCCTACAGTGATGGAACTGATTCCTGTTTAATCACATTGAAATGAAAGAGAGAGAAAAAATCACAACTAGAAAATATTTAGTCATTTTAGTAATTTAGACATTTTAATTAGCTAAACCTACCTGCAACATATTTAATGAAAGCTTGCTGCGTGAAGAGATTTTGAGATTCTCTTGTATTAGATTAATAAGTGGGATTGGATCTCCCTCCAGTGGGATTGGCCTGCCCCCACCTGTGCCAGCAGAATAGGCATGCTGCAGACTCCATCAGTCAAAGAAGAGAAGAGCCTCGGCTCTTATGCCATGGCTCCTGCCCTTTGGAACATTGCCCCTCCCAGGTGAGATTCCCTCCCACCCTTCTAATCTTCCATGAGGCCTTGAAAACATGGCTGTGCCAACTAGCCTGGAGCCTGGAGGTAACTAATAGAGTAAAAAGCACCTCACTTCCCCCTACATGCATCTTGCTCCCTCTCTCCCCCTTGTTTTAATTGAAATTATGACTACAGTTATGGATATTTCTTTTTTTATTGTTTCATTGACTTTTATTGTTTGTAAGCCACCCAGAGGTGAGATGGGTGACAAATACGTCTAATAAAATAAATAAATAAATAAATACCATGGCTATTTACATTCTTTTGACTCTTAGATTTATAGGATTGTATTGTTTAGATCTACTAATACTTTTCATTGCTTATTTCAGTGTTTCCCAGACTTGACAATTTTAAGGCATGTGGACTTCAACTCTCAGAATTCCACAGCCAGCGTTGCTGGCTGTGGAATTCTGGGAGTTGAAGTCCTCATGCCTTAAAATTGTCAAGTTTGGGAAACACTGGCTTATTTCCTAATTTTTAGCAAAGAATATGTGTTACTTTATGTGGTATTTTTGCAGTAGACATGCTCTTTTTCCCCTTCCATAGGGGAAATGAGTATTTACATAAAGGGGTTCTTCATAAAGTGAGTTATTGAATTTTCAAATCCAAAGGTAGAAAACAACACTGCCTTTAGTTTGTACAGAAAGTTCCCAAGCAGGTTTTTTGAGCATTCAGAACATTGCTAAAAATATGTATTACTTAACTTGCCAGATGGACAAAAAAGCTTTTCAGCCTTAGAAAAAATAATTTAAGGTATCAGGCAGGTAATAAGGGAGAGGAAAAGTATATTGAAAATTTCTCATTCAGCTCTGGCTCAGAATGTTAGGAACATATCTAAAAGACCACTTTTCATTATCCCTGTCTTGCTCACAGAACTTAAAAGAAATCTAGTGTTATGGGGCGTTTTTTACTTATAATACAAATTACAAATAAATTGGCATAAATTAGTGGAACTCTATACATCTTCCTTTTTTCAGCAAGAAACCCTTCCAATTTCCTAGAATTGAACTAAGAAATATCCTCCATCTATATTTGGAAATAGGATAAAATCTTGTTTTATCAAGTGAAGAAGGGGAAATGTGCTTCAAATTGAGTTTGAAAGTTATGAATGCATCCACTGTACAGTGTTTGTTTATAGCAACAGTACAGAAGTGGGTTGCCATTGCTTTTTTCCATGATATTTTCAAGGTCTATAGTTTACTTATTTTCTGGGGGTGGGATGGGGGGGATTCTGTTACAAAAGTAGTGATTAGGCCCATCCTTGCTTAGCTTCTTTCTCTCATGTTCCATCATATATGCCCGATACACAATATTTTTAATAAGACTGATGAAAGCATATAACAAGCTTTGGCCTGTTAGCCTTTGAATGATTCTTCTGACTCTTAGCCAACAGATTTTGTAATGTAACAGGATTGGCATTGATTCTGGTAGGAGAAGTATCAATACAATATCCTTCACTAGGTCATATGGATGTAAGTTCTCCTGCTGTTCTTTATGATATTTATAATCAACTTTGGAGCTATATATTGTGTCAAGAGAACTGCAACAAGAATTCACAGAGTCTATTTTTCAGAAGTTGAAAAAAGGTCTAAGCTTTGGCAAAATAAAATATTTTCAGATCCTTGGAAAGCTCCACACAGGAAGTACAAAATTAGGTTAAATCTGAGATGATAACAGGACTACATTTTCATATGGGAAATCATATTGAGGGTTTGCCTCAGTCAGATTAAACTAGTTCATCATTCTCTGAATCCTTACCCTTGTAGGAATATGACAACTGTTTGGGAATTATGAAAGTTGAGTTTCAAGTATTTGGAAAATACCCAATTTGGGGAGGGCTGCTTTACTTAAGTCTATCAAAAATATCTCAAAGGAGTAAACAGTTTACATGCTGTTGCATGACATTTTGATGACGTTAATAAAGATGCTTTCCATCTGTGGATTTTATACTTTAAAATAGGTTATTTCTGAGACATCAGCTCAGATACACCCAGGACTAAGGATTTAATAAGCCATATTAAAGTAGTCTTTTTTAAAAAAAAAAAAAATCTTGCTTAATTATTGTCCATGCTTACCTCCACTCATAATGGTGGAGGTAAGCATTTGTTAAGATTTGTATCTAATGCTATGCTATTAGAAACACCTTTACCCTTTCCATTTAAAAGAGCCAGCTCATGATAGAGATGAGGCAAATATTAATAAATTTATTACATAATTTTACTAAAAAAAATAATTATCCTACGTATTAGTTTAATTCTTTATATTAACCACTCTTTGAAAAATAATAAAGGAAATTTTTAAAGAAACATATACATTTTCATTTCTGTTTTTATTGCAACACTTATTGTACTTTTGAACTGATCACTTAGGCGTGAAATTTGCTGATCCAGTTCAATTTAATTAATTTTTTAATGTCATTATTTCAGGGAGAACCTGGTGCAATGGGAGAAAGAGGAGTCTCTGGACTTAAGGTTAGTAGATAAAATTCTGGCTAGTAATTTTTCACACTCTATTTTTATACATGATTTTTTTTTGCAGTTCTTTTAAGAGTCATCTTTTTGTAGCAGAATAGCTTGTCAGTGGAGCTCATAGGGAGTAGAACAACAATCGTCCATAAACACATTGTAAAATATACTTTACTTATATCAAAAGAAGAAATGGGGTATATTGCCTATTCCTATAAGATTCTTCTGTACTACTATAGTTGTGTTGAGAGCGCCAAAGCACTTCTGGGTTGAAAAGATTGAGTGGTAACATCACCATTGTCTGCAGATGCCCAATTGGGGGTTCCTTTCATGTCCCTGTTAAGTTACCCACTGAAGTGGTACCCATTTATCTGGTCACAGTCGCTTGCTTTCATATTGTTGGGTCGGCAGGAGTTGGAGCATGTGATGAGAGCACATCTCATCCTGTGGTAGCAACCAGGTCTTGAACATGAGCCTGCTGGTCGTTAACCCAGTATTCTAACCTTGTGAGCCACCATACTCCCTAGATTCTTCTCTAGTCATGTATGATTTAAATAACGAGCCTTTTCTGTAAATGGATCTCACATCTTTACAGAAGGTTGACCTTTGATGAAAAGGATCATTCATTTTCTTAGTTCTCCACCCAAAGATGTCTTTTGCAGAATTTAAATGTTTCCATATTATACATTAACTGGTTTTGTTATTATTGAGGGAAAATATGGCTGAATGAGTTTTAAGTCAGTTTCTGAGAAACCGTATCTTGATCCTGATTCGCAATACAATTCTCCCTCTCAGTTTTCAGTTTAAGAAGGTGTCAAGGGCCAGGACTGAAAGGGATGCACATATCTTAACGCTGAAGAACTGCTTATAATCAAAATACTAACCTACATAGACAAAGAATATGCCCTGATGCAAAGCAGATATATAAGTTCTAGTCTTATTAATTGCCAAATGTCCTAACTTACTTACTTAAAGCTATTAGAAGAGATTTGTCTAACTGAAGAAGTATGTATTTGAACCACTGTCCAAATCCCATTATAAAGATCAAGAAGAAAAAGAAGAGTCTTGACGTTTTCTTAAAAGTTGTATCTGGCAAATAGAGTAGTCACACAGATTACATAGTAATAGTTGCAAATTTCTCTACTATATAATGCTTAAGTTGTAGTAGTAATTTGTAGTTTTGTATACAACAGTATTTAAGAAAATATAATTAATAATCATATTACTAATGTAATTTGTCACATCAGTGATAAATCTGCCTTCATGAAGCTATTCTTTTATTCTTTAAACATATGGAATCAGAGTTTACAGAGCATCATGGATTCCTTAAGTATGGTGGTGAATCAATACAGTCTGATCAAGAAAAAATGGCTCTAAATATATCAGAAGAAAAAAAACAATTCTATCACTAGTATATAAATGCTCTTAGATTTAATAGTCTATATTTTTTTATTACATTGGTCATGCTAATGTGTTTTTAGCATGCAGTCCTGGGTCACAACAGAATTTGGATCTTCTATGAATGGGGCAAGGTCTTAAAATGATCATCTTGTTCTTTATATATAAGGAAAGAACAAAGGCCTTTGGCAAGCACTCATTTCTCATTTTAGACTTTCACTGATGACAATTAATAGCAAATTAGTTTCTCTATTGTTATATTTTAGAAGTGCAAGAAATCAATAATTAGATAAGTTTGAATGAACTATATGGAGGCAAAGTTAAAACAAGATGAATTGCCTAAGTCATAATCAGAGTATTTAAAGTTGCTTTCCAATCGGTAAGCATTATGAATATAAGAGTAAATTCAAGGTGTCTTTGGTGGAGTATGAGAATACATCTGCAAGATATTAAAAAGTCAAAACAAAGCCATTAATTATTTAAGATTATAGTTTTTCAACCTGTAGGAGAAGGAGTGGCAGAACAACGGGGCGGAATTAAAAAAGGAATCAGCCTAGAGCCTCTATGTCAGCAATCCCCAACCTTTCTGGCTTGGTGTCCCAGTGGGGAGGGGGGAGAGGGAATTGTTGCCTGCAAGTGGCAGAAGGGCACATGAAGCTCACATAAAGGGAGCTTCATGTGAGAGAGCAAGCAGCTGGCACTTGATGAGGGGAGCTTCGTATGCGAGAGTAAGCAGCCACTGCTTGCACAAGGGGAGCTTCGTGCACATGCACAAGCTTGCCAGCCGCTTGCACAGCCCAGTTCTGAACAGGCTGAGACCTGGAGTTGGGGACCCTTGCTTTACGTAGTCACAAGAAGTCCTTTGCTTTGTAAGTTTTAAAATACTAAGTAAGCTACATATGAATAAAAAATATTTTAACCAACTAAAAAGTTGCATAAAAATATATTACAGTAATGTAGCCCAAATATTTTATTTGAATCAGTGTCAAAATTACAATCTTTATCCTTAAATTTATATTTATTAAATAGATGCAATGGTCATACATAAAGGTCTGATAGATCTGCATGAATGTCCTTTGAGAACAATAAATGCATTATTTCTGCCTTCTGTTTCAATTAGGGTGATCCTGGACAACGGGGAGAAAAGGTAATACATATATGCTTATTTAGTCCTACAAACAAATAATTTCAAAACTGAATTGTGAAGTGTTCAACAACTTTTTATACATTCCATTTTATGCAAGAACTTAGGAAAACAGCACCCAGGTCAAAGTTATATATTCATAAGGTGCTGTAAACACTATGAAAAATCAGAATTTTCATTTTGAAAAGTTGTAAGTCACATTGTAACTGGAAGAGTTGAAACAAAGCATGGGAAGAAAAGGGAACAAAAAAGGGAAATAAAAAGGCAACAAAAAAAAAAACAGTTGAAGCTTACCATTTAACTGTTATTGTATAGCTGATGCTATTGAGGCCTAAAGTTTCAGGAAGTTGCCAGCTCAGATGTCTACATTTTGAGGGATTTATGAAACTCTGTAAAGGAAAAACAATGTTGAAAATAGCTAACCAATGTTATTAGATTTTTTTCTGATAAAAAGTGAGGTTTTATTATTTGTCAATAGAAAAATGAGGAGATACGGGATGAAAAGAGTTTTCTTGGAATATTAGAGAACATTCATTCATTCATTTCATCACCCTTTCCCTTCCCATTCTTTCCCCTTTTTAATTTTCTATTTTTTTCTTGCTTAAATTAATCTTGGTTTGTATTACTTTTTTATCTTTGTAATTTTAAATTTCAATAAATATGATTGTAAAAAAATCTTAAGCAAAAAACCAAGTTTGATGTGACAGGAAGACAGGCCAGAGCCAGTACAGACTAAGACTGAAATATTGCTTGATTTTTCTAATATATCACTTCTTTCTTCCATTACTCTGTCACTCTTTTTGTTCATTTCCTTGGTCTAATTTTATACTTTTCTTCAAAACTGTAAATAGAAATAAATTTAGGATGCTTTTAATAGAAAGCAACTGGTAAAAGAAAAAATTTAAAAGAACTTATTCTGATATTTAGGGTGATGCTGGAGAAAGTGGACCCAAAGGTCACTCTGGAGAAAAGGTACAATTTATAGAGAAGGTCACAAAGTACATTTAAATTCAGGTTAAAAACAACAGAGATACATTTTTTAAAAAAATAATTATAATTTTAATGATAAAATTTAATAAACTGATATATTCAAAATTATAATTTGTAGTTCCAGTATATATGCATACATGTTTATTTTTATAATTTTTGCAAGACATAGTCAAAAGAATTTGTTTTATCAATATGAATCATTTGGTTTGGTTTTTAGCAACTATAACCTTAGTATCATCGTATTATTTGTGATAACTAATTAGACTGATGTCATCCATATAAACTTCATTATAATATTGCTGAAAAGGGACAATTTATTAGGATTTTTTTCAGAGTGAACTTTATTTTCACTCTTTATTACACAAAACCCGATTCCTACTGTGAGAGGCTTTTATTTTTTATTATAATATTTCTTCTGCAAAATGTCAGTAATTACCGTCACATCTCCTGGCTTGTGAAATCTCCTCCCCAGATTTCTTTGTATTTCTTGTTATGATATTTAAATATTTCTTGTAAAATTGGTAAGTCTGCTCTGAGCTTCAGGCAACTGTTTCAAACTGAAATGGGTCATCATGAGCTCAAAACAGTTTGAACACAAGACATTTAACACATTTCTTTTTCCTTTCTCCTTCAGTCAACAGTATAAAAAATTGAGGGAACAAATCCCTTAGTTCATATAGATTGGCTAAAGCCTGTTTTGTGTAACTGTTGAATCCAGAATTTTCTGCTTTGGCTTTCCTGGTTTTCTTGTTCTGTTTCAGAAGACATACATGTGGACAAACACCACATATTACTCATGAATTCTAATTCGACTGTATGTAACTTTGGCTTGCATTTATAGAGCTTTCCTTCCCACACTTGAAATAATCAGTTTTAACCAAATACACAGGAGATTCAAAGGTGAAACTTAGTAGGAATACATTGCCAATTCTCACATTCCTGCACGGGACATACAATATTCCACCCTGAGGGCTGGTAGAGCTTTGCAAATGGTAGATGATTCAGCAAGCTGTTCTTCCTCAACTAGAACAGTTAAAGTCAAAGTCTCTATTCCTCCTTGACCCACAAACATTTATAAAATAATAAGCCAATTTAAAGTGCTTTCTTGGTGTCTTATGGACTAATATTTTATCAGTTTGTATTTGTATTTGGAAATCCCACAATATTTTAACATTCTTATTTTGGATTACTTTTTCTATACAGTATGTTCCCACTAATTTTTTTTATTAATGGCACATTTTAATTTTTACAAATGTTATTTTGGTGACTGTGTTATGTTGCTGTTCATAGTCAGTTTGTGTAATCTTTTTTTACACAAATTGGGTATATGATCTACTGTTCCTACTGCTTTGCACAATTTGCACTTTGAATCATTGGATGATTTTTCAGATCTGGTCTTGATTGCATTAGCTTGAACCTGAGCAGCCAAAATCAAGCCATCCGGTTTCCAGTGTTCAAGTCATGGCCAGGTTTTATCTGTATCCACTTTCCCTCAATCTTTTATAAAAATTGACCATGTAATACTTTTCCTTGCCAGCATTCTGTCCTGCTTTTTATTTCATTTGTTCAATATTCATGCTTTGTTTCTTGAACATTCAGTAAGTCTCAGTTTTTAATATCCATCAATGCTTGTTCTTGGCTGCCTTTTATGTAACCAGCCAATGTATGCTTTTCTTCTTCAGTATTTTTTTTTTACTTGAAGTAAACCTCTGCCTCCATTAATTACTATCATTATTATTATTATGTAGGGTGATCCTGGATCTTCTGCTGCGGGAATTAAGGTAATATGAGTAACAAGAACTTTTTCACATGTATGCCAAAATTAAATTTTCTGTATTTTCTTTCTTATCTTGAAGTTAATGCCATCCTTTAATTTTAATCTCCTGCTTTATAATTTGTTTCTTTGTTTAGGGGGAACCTGGACAATCGGGTAGACCAGGACAAAAGGTAATGTGTTCAAATAAATAATTTTGGTTTCCTAGATGTATTTGAAATCTGATTTGTCAGACGTGTAGTATATAAAAAATGATACTGTCCTTTCCAATAAACTGAAACTTTGTCCCACTGTATTAAATGGGAAGGTATTTTAAGTAGCAGATATAAAGTAAGAAGTAGCGGCAACATACTGAACATATTTTGATTTGTGAAATATTTTCCTACTATTAAAATATTGTAATATTCTATTATAATACAATATAATTTAATTTGGTAGGGTGAACCTGGACTTCCTGGACTTCCTGGGTTACCTGGAATTAAGGTAAATATACATGTTTTATCTATATCAGTGCTGGCAAGAGAATTGTAGGAATTGCAATCCACCCGTCTTAGAAGTTTCCAAGGTTGAGAAACATTGATCTATACAGTTTTATTATAAATATGGGACATGTATAATTAACATGCAGTTTGGACCACTGTTAACATACCTGAAACCTTTTCTTCTATACATTAAGATCATCACTTGGTATCAACCATACTTGGAGAAGTGAAAGGGTAGCTAAGTTTTTTATTTTGTGTAATCTATAGCCAGTGAGCTACATATAGTTCTTTCCCCTTTTTGTTTATAACCTATAGCAGGGGTGTCAAACTCAATTTCATTGAGGGCCACATCAGCATTGCGGTTGCCCTCAGGGGGCCAGGTGGATGTGGCCAGGGTGGGTGCGGCCTACTAGGTGGGTGTAGATAGAGTGGGTGTGGCCTACTGGGTGGATGTGGTCAGCTCTACATCATTCGCGTCAAGGGTGCCTGTGGGGGCCTGGGCAAGAGTGGGATAGATCTGAGGGTCTCTGGCAGAAGGAGGTGGGACCAGGGCAAGTGCCAAGGCATGGTCCACTGGAGAATCCTCTCAGGCCATGCGGGGGGGGGGGTTATGGAGCTAAGACTGAATGTGTTTTAGCATAGATGGTCACCACAAAATTGTACATTGGCTCCCAGCTGGCCTGGGCCAGGGCCAAGGCAGAGGGGGCTGTTCCCTCACTGTTTCCAGGAGGGCTTCGTGGGCCACATGAAACCACTTCGCGGGCCGCATCCAGCCCCCGGGCCTTGTGTTTGACATGTCTGACCTATAGAGTTCTGCAAGATTGGACCATTGAAATTTAACAGTTCAATTTTATGTTCTTCAGTTGAAAAAAAATGGGTGAATTATCTTCACCTCTATAAACTTTTTAAAAGCACTCTTTTACAAAAGTGAAGAGGCAGACAGCATCATTGCAAATTTCAGTAAAAAAATGGTTATTAAAAGCATGGTCTCCAGATGCAAAATGAACTGCCTGCTATATATTGCAGAAAACATTCACCAATACTAACAATAATGGACTCTAATTGTTGACAGTCTTATCTCCCTTGCTTCCTGATATATGTTCATTGACAGAAAGTACATCTACTAATTCTACAGGCTAGATTAAGGTGCTGAGAAGACCTTTTCTGTATCCTTATTGATTATGCCTCTGCTATTGTTGCGATATAGACAATGGTATATGGTTAGTTCTGGCTCTCCACCCAGAACTAACCATATACACAAATTGGCAAGCAGTACTGGTCTTGCAGTACTAGTGTATTGTACTCCTGGCTGCAAGCAACCTCCAAAAATCTTGCTTTTGATTTCTGGACCAGCTCCAGTTTTCAACATAGCTGCAACGAGAGAACACTTCATCTTTATAGCAGTGAAACACCAATACAAAATAAAACTTCATAGTATGGAACAGGTTAATCTGGCAAAACCCAGTTTTATTCCAAGCATGCTTGTGCTGTTCTGTCATGCTAGGCTCTAGCAAACTTGCTAGACTATAGACTATTGTCTATATCTCATTAACTTGGAAATACATGCAACATACTGGCACATTATCCTATATCTCTATATACCACCAGTCTCTCTTGCTCATACTACTCTTCCTACAAAGAAACAAGTATGCACACATAAGCATCCACAGAGCTTTCCTCTTTCTACTAGAAATACCAACAAAGAAAGGAGGGAGGACCAAAATAGAGTGGGTGGCAAAATTAAGAAAAGAGATATTATAAAAAAGATTAAATTTAGTAGTAAAGCAGTTCTTTCCAAATAGCAGCTCATTTTCAAGGCATCCTCTTTCAGCTGGACTATCTAGTCTTTTCCATTTTGGGATCAGTCCTTCTTTTCTATTCTTATCAGCTAATTTGAAATAACCCCCCCCCCCAAATTTTTATCCTGATAAATATGCCATACAACTTATTCTGCACCAGTACATATTATGTTTTGAGTTGTTTAGTTTTGTTTTTGAACTAGGCAGGACACCTGGCAAGAACATGGAAATGTCCTTGTAGATTTCTAGGCAATATTTTTAGAAATGATTTGCCTTCTTCCTAAGGCTAAGAGGAGTGATTAGTCCAGTTAACTTCCATGGCTAAAATAGGACTAGAAAGCACGCTTACATGCTTCTGGTCCAGTATTTTAATCAATAGACCTAATCAGCTCAATTGGAAGTATTTGTTTCATCATAAAAGTTGAATAAAAATTGAATGTTGATCCATCTAGCTTTTGCTAATCTGAATGGTGAGAGAATCATTGGTTTCTTTGAGAAGGAAATTAGAAATAAAACTTAATTCATGATTAGTATGAGCTTCATAGACATTCTGTATTAAAAACTGAACTAATAAGAATCAATAAGAACTTGGAGAATATCTTCACTGTATTTGCCTGAGAGAAGGGGGTGACTTCCCATCCGCTTTGAAAAAATTCATACAGTTACCCATTAAAGAAATATCAAAATGCACCTGTCTGTATTCTTGGCTTTTGAAGATTAAGGCCTCTGAATCCATAAGCGCACCAATCAAATCAGATTGGATATCTTTTTGTTTTCTCTTTGCTGCTGCATTGCAGAGGTATGCTTTATTGAAATGGAATTACTTGTTTACTTGCTTTCACATGCCATTAAGAACGCTAATCTGGATAGAATCTCATTTACTTTCTGTTTTCTCAGTGAAGTACCTGATGAGAACACACAACTCAAAAACAACATTTTTTTAGAATATCCCTTTTATGTTGTGTAAAAGAATGTAACAAGCTTGTATTGTTGTTTTTTTCAAAAACAGCAAAAAAGTCAAACAGTAGACAGTGGCCAACTCAATGTTAAATGCTGAAATTCTGCAAAATCTTTTGCATAGAAAATTTTTTTGCATAAATATAAATACACTTTGAAACTATACTTATTCACTGTCATCTTTTATAATTAAACTGATTATTTGGATGGCATAGTTGGAAAAAATTGTAGACCCTTAATTTTCTGACTCACAATAGCTCTGTCAAATAGCACTATATTTGATTAATATTACAGAACAAGTCAATCTGATGGCTAGATCCATGATGTAAAAGCAATAGCAGTTAGACTTATATGCCACTTCACAGTGCTTTACAGCCCTCTCTAAGCCATTTACAGAGTCAGCATATTGCCCCCAACAATCTGGGTCCTCATTTTACCGACCTTGGAAGGATGGAATGCTGAGTCAACCTTGAGCCGGTGAGGACCCCTGGCAGTCAGCAGAATTAGCCTGCAAATACAGCATTCTAACCACTGCACCACCATGGCTCTTATGGTGTAGCAAGATTCAGTAAGTAAAGTAGCAAAAAGATAGAAATCTGTTCTTTACTGAAATAAGCACTTGGTATGTCTAGCTTTATCTAGAGCAGGGGTAGGCATCCTTGGCTCTTTTATGACTTGTGGACTTCAACTCCCAGAATTCCTGAGCCAGCCATGCTAGCCAAGGTTGCCTACCCATGACCTAGAGCTACCAATAATACAAAACCTGCATCAAAAATTGTTTTCTTTGTTTCACCCCCTCTGGTTCTCGGGTCCTTCTATCTTTAGTTTAGTGTTTATGGGAGTTGTAGTTTCCTATGCAAGGCTGGCGTACAGTTAGAGGTTTTCTTGGAATCCCAGCTAATATTTGAAGAACAAACGGCAATTGTGGCCATGTGGGCCTTTACACAAGTGAATGGACTGGGAAGATCTTTTGAGAATCACTCATGTATTGGTTACTGTGAATTGGATTATGGAAATCTGATGGATAGATCCATTCTCTAAGCGGGGTTGCTCTTGAAAACCATTAGCAAGCTACAGCTATCTTGAATGCAGCAGCACAGGCAGTGATGGGTATGTTGTGGTATGAGCAAGTTTCCTCACTATTTTTCCAGCTGCACTGGTTGCCATTTGGGTTCTGGGTGAAGTTCCAAGTGCTGGTTATAACCTAAAATGCTGTGCATGGCATAGGGCCTCATTATATTTCTCCATATATTTCCGCCTGCCTGGTCTTATCAACTCAAGGGGGCATGCTCCATATCTCTTAATTAGGCAGTAGCATGTTACAAAATGTAAGAGCCATGCTTAAATTCATGTCCACCTGGAGATCTGTACTGCTTTCACCTTTCTGACCTTTTGTATACTGTTCAAAACATGGCTGTTTTCTCAGGCCCTGAGCTAGTATAGGGGTTGAGTCCCTTTGGTTTGTTATTGGACAATTGGCTTTTTGGTTTAGGATTTCTGATCATCTGTCTTCTTTTTCTTCTTAATATGTTTTGTTTTGTTTTAATTTATTACCTATAAACTGCTCAGATTTGCAACAGAGCCAGGCAGCTTCCAAACTGAATAAATAAATAAACCAACAAGCAAAATTTGTCATTAAGGTGAATGTATTGGTGGTTTCATAGTAATATAGTGATTCAGTGTAGCAACTTTGGTTATTGCTCTTGTATCCCCTCCCCCACTGTGGTGTTTTCGTGGTGTACTAGAACAGGGCTTTTCAACCAGTGCTACGGGTACCATCTGTGGTACATTGGCACCTGGCAGGTGGTACGCAACCATCCTAGAAAAGTGGTAGCAGGGGAGGGGAATGAGCTGAACCGGTGGCAGCACCGCATAAACCTGAGCGAGAGATGGTTGGAGCTGCAGGGCTGTCAGGGCTTAGCGGAAGCACCAGGATCAGCACTAGGCTCCAGCTGGAGCTCAGCACTGATCCTGGTGCTTCTGCTGAGCCCAGAAGAAGCGCCAATCAGCTGGAATGTTGCAGCATCTCCAGGGTCTTGTGATGCTTGGCAACTGATTCATGTTTATGATGGTCATAGTGTCCCAGGGTCATGTGAAGTGACCAAAACCTCTGCAACCACCCAGCAGATGGGGGGAATAAAAACCAAATACCCCCCCACCCCACTCCCACTGCCAATCCTCAACAGAAATGCTCACAACAATGAAAACCTTGGACAGGAGGAAGAGCGCCACCAGGCGGGCAGGCAGGTGTCTTGCTCAGCTGTGCCTTGGGGGGCACTTTTTTCAGTGCCATTGTAACTTCGAACAGTCACTAAGCGAACTGTTGTAAGTCGAGGACTACCTGTACGTTATCACTTTTTTCCTTTTTTTTTTTTTTTTGGTCATCAAGCTTTTGACACCTTGCTAGGTGACTGGTGGTACTCGGATATTGCCATACCCTAAAAATGGTACAATGGGTGAAAAGGTTGAAAAGCCCTGTAGTAGAAGTTAAGCCTAAAGCCTAGCTTGGTACAGAAGAATTTAAGGACTAACTATTTGTTTCAGGGATCATTTCAAATTTGCCAACTCTATCTGGAAAATAGGAATTGATCTCACATTCCAAAAATATTACTGTTGTGAATATAATTGTCAGCTAACAGAATCAAATATTTCCCAATAAGTAACCCTTTGGACAGAATGAAAACTTAGAATTCCCATCTCCATGAAGAGTCATGAATTTTTGTCACATAAACAGACACAGAATGGAATCCTTCCATTCTGATGATAGAAATTTTTTAGACTTTTTAAAGGGCAAATTCAAAGAGCATCGTGGAAAAACCTGAGAAAAGCCATCTCTGATTGAAGTTCAGATTTCCCAGGAATTCATTAATTGAGACAGAGAGAACATATTTTTTGTTCTCAATTCATTAATTGAGACAGAGAGAACATATTTTTTGAGGAAAATCTAGTTGAAGAAGGTGGATGAAAAATATTTCTTCAAGAAAGTTAATCTTTTTCTTTACTATGTGATGCTATATCTTTTTAATTTCTATTAAAAAAACTCAGAGATTTTTATGCTTATCTTCAGAAAGGAAACAATGTCTCTTTTGTGATGGAACCACTGATTGAGGGGTCAGGGTGGCAAAAGATACATTCCAGTTTAGGGTCCATTTGGAGATTTGAGATCAAATCCTTAGATCTACATTGCCATTTCTCAAGGAAAGCAGACATCTGGCAAGATTCTTGTAATACAAGTGATCAACAATAAACTATCTGTTTGTGCCTAGCCATGAGTGATTATGATTGCTCAATTTGACACTTTAGAACTCTGTAATGATTTTCTAGTACAAATAGGGCCAATTGTGATTTGTAGCAAAAGTATATGGTAGTCTGCTAGAACATTTTCTTTTATAAACTATTTTTATATAATCAACTTTCTTTTCCCTGTAAACTGAATAGTTCTATAGTTGATTTTCATTATTGAATGATAACATTTTTTAAAAGTTAAAAATGTTCTTAGGGATCATTTCTAGATTAATATAGAAAATCATATTATTCTGGTCCATTTGATAAGAAGTTGAGGATTTTTTTAATATATCATAATAACTTGAAGAAGGATATTGATACCTTGGATTGTACTGTGGTTTGACTTTGATTTTTTTTTAAAAAAGCAACAGTTTCCAATAGAATAAGGAATGAGGAGAGGTATTTACAGTATTTGCATGTATTTATAGCTTACATAAACATAAATAGTATTCTGTGGAAAGTTGGCATCAATGAGTATGGACCACAGCAGAGGTTGAGATATGGAGAATTAATGAAAATGGAACATGGGTGTGATTTTTGATGTGCCAGTATTTTGAGTGGCATATTATGTTTCTAGGATATCAACTGGCTCATGGCATTCTGAAACTGAAGACATTTTCAAAAGCTCACAGTACAAAGTAGTTTTGATCACACAATCCACTTTTATTTCTCATCCTTGAAATCATGATTAAACAGATTAGAGAACAAAGTAACCACTGAGTTGGCTTTATGGTAGATTAAGTCTGTGAGTACTCAAGAAGTTTGAACCTATCAAATAGATTGCTGAAGGCTTCATTATTCCTTCCATGATAAGTATGATTGTTGTTTCCATAAATGATTAGAAAAACATTACAAGGATACATTTGAAAACCCTTCACAGTTTTGTATACAATTTGCAGTGTATATCATAATTATTTCTTCTCTTACCAATTTTGATCTTTCTTTTGCAGTTTACTTTTTTCAGTGATATGCCTTTATACCATGCCTGAATACAGTTTTATATTTCTAGCTGTTGAAGAACTGCCATTGTACTCATGTCGAGGAAATACTTTTCATACTAATTTTATTTATGCAATGCTGTGACCAGCAAGAAGATAGATTTATTTTTTCATTATATAGTTTAATATAAATGATGAAATCTATTTTCTTAGTAATGCCAATGATTCCACATAGTATATTATCAAACATTTCTTTTAATTAAAAGGGAAATCTTAAAACATATGTGGTAATGATTTATTTATTTTAATTTATCAGATGTACTATAGGCAAATGAAATTCCTAATTGCCTGGTATTTGCATTAAGAAAATAAAACTAAGGCACTAATTAATTAAACAGGTTCTAATATCTGCTGAAGAAAATCAGGATAAGCAGAAAAGCTCTTAGGGGTGCAAGAAAACCTAAAAGCTACAAAAATTGGATTGGGATTATGACAGTAGTAAAAATAAGATAAAAGATAGACCTCCTGGGAGGAAAAAATGATAAGCAAGTGACAGAGATGGGGCTCCTAAACCTCTACTTTGGTTTACTCTCTCTCTCTAAATGGGAATTCTTGAATGAACTTAATCAAAACAATTGACAAAAACGAGGGAAGAGCAATTCAAGTTAAGAAAAGAAATTATAGGGACTAGTTGGCTACTTTGCAGCTTTGAATGATATACCAGTAAGAAACACAGTTGGACCAGAAAGCTTTGGGGACAGTCATGAATGGTCTGTGTAGCAGTATACAGCAGCTAAGCACTGTCTGCTGTCATGTCACATGAGCTTCAGACAAGCAAGTTCATGAATAAAGTGTGTGCGGGAAAGCAGATAACAAACTTTCTAAAAAGCAGAAATATTGTTACATGAAACAATCAGGGTGGCTGTACTTGAAGAGAAAGTTTTGGAGAAGAAGAATAAATGACAGATTAGGAACCACAATGGATTCTAGGCGACTTGAACTATTGAAGGCATCTTGGTTACAGGAAAGCTCACGTAAGACTCCTATAGTATTTTTGGCTGGGGTCCAAAGAAGACCAAAGAAACAGTAAACTAGTGAGAGAATGTCTTCTCAGCCCAGAGGGACTTGGGGAAAGCTTTAGAAAGATATCCACTCCTGCCAACCTGAGAGAGAATGGAAACCGTTATAATAAACACTGGTGAACACTTTTAAGTGCAAAGAGGGTGTTAGAAAAAGTTATACATCTAAATAGCCACAAACTTAACTTAGCTATATTGGCACAAGTAACAACGTATTACTGCCATATTTTTATTCCTTTACACCAGTGAAGTTCTATATTGTAAGTTCCCAGATATATTAGGAATCCTTGTCCAAATACGTTGTTGTTATACGATTGTTGTATCCTGCTCATAGTCTTATGAATGGAATACTATTAAATACTGTAAATTGAATGTGTGTTTTTAATATTGTGTAATTTGCAAGTGATGTCTAAGTAGAATTATTTCTCTTTTTCAATAGTATATTGCCTCAATTAGTTTTTTCCTGCCATAAACTAACTTAATATAAGATGTTATATATCAGGTGTTCATTTCATAAAGTCTTGTGCTATAAAAGCTTCTGGTTCACTTGCTTTTCTTAAGTTAGGTGGGGGTTTTCTTGAAGAATTCTTTGCTGATGGAAATCAAACATGATTAATTGTAGCTGTCCATAGCTATTGGGTTACAGCTAGAAATGTGACTAGGGAAAACATAACTGCAAGAAAATTCATGTTTTCTATAATTATTCACAGTTAAATTAACAAAGTTTTAATATGCTTATTTATTAAAAGGGTGAACCGGGTTTCCTAGGTCCACAGGGAGAACCTGGATTGCCAGGATTGCCAGGGACAAAGGTACAATATACATTTTTTCCTTATTACACACAATTTGCTCTGTATCAGATCAGTTGGAGCCTAATCATTGGAATGGACATTTCCTTCCACAACCATTAAAGTCTTACTAAAGAGAAAGTTTATCAGACTGAGATCACAACTCAACCCATTACAAAATGTGTAATGTGTGTAAAATAAATTAATTAAATTAAACCACTATGAATTCTGTAGGAAATGATGCAAGTGTGATTATTTTATATACGTTCTTAATTGTACAACCGAGACTTCATCTCATTCTTTTTTAAAAAAAAGAGGGACCGTATTGCCTAAAGCTTCTTTTATTTTGTGAAACCAGTTGGAGTTACCAATACCTAAAACTAAAACCAATAAATGAAAGTTGGACAATTTAAATATGGGAAGCATTATCTGTTTTGCCTCTTTTTTCCACCTGTAATTATTCCTATTTTATCCATAATGTTCAGGGATTTTTTACTTTTGACAAATCAGAAGGAGAAAAAAAACATATATAATGGCACTGTAATCTATTCACACTCTCCTCAGAAGAGGTTTGTACTAATGTATGTATTGATCAATTGCCAGTTTGACATACTCTTTGATATTACTTCTGTTTGATGTTTCAACAGCAACTCTCATCAATATCAAAAGTTACTGATGTTTTATGATGCTTCTGTGTGTATGTGCTATGATTTTTAACAGGGTGAAAGAGGAGAAGTAGGAGCTCCTGGGAAAGGTGAACGAGGTGAGCCTGGAGCTCCAGGGCTAAAGGTCAGTTTGGTTTCACTTTGAAATATTTAGAGGGCCTTTGAGAACTCTGTGTTTATCTCATTTTTTAAAGACATCCTTTGTTTCAGGATGTTAAATAGAACCAGAAAAATCAATTTCATTGTGATTGAGGATGTATTCCAAGTTATTTAAATATATGTCATTCATTTTTACCACATAGTCCAGTTAAAGTTAATTAAACAAATGGAGAAGTTTCATATTAATAATAAAAAATGGATGCTATGCAAATATTACTTATAGTCATACTTAATGGGAATTAAAGTGCTTTAGACATAACAAGTAAATAAAAGTATAACAAAATTCTGATTTCTAACTATAAGGTTAGAGTGCTCATAGGCGAAACTTTAAACAGATTTCATCATTTAAAGTAGAATTTTCAAAATTCTATATGGTTAGTAATTGTGTCTAAGACAGACAGAGAAGGGAGGGAGGGAGGGAGGGAGGGAGGAAGGAAGGAAGGAAGGAAGGAAGGAAGGAAGGAAGGAAGGAAGGAAGGAAGGAAGGAAGGAAGGAAGGAAGGAAGGATCTTTAAAATTGTACTTTGCGGAGCAACTCAACTGATTTTCTAGGTTTTCATTAGCAATTTAAAACCTATGCATAATAATGTCCTGCTTTATATGAGATGATCCTACATCATAGATAAGACCAAAGAGTTAGTGATAAGATGGGTGGCTATATAAATATTTTAAATAAATAAATGTTTTGGCTGATCTTTGGAACAAAACTGTAGTGAAATTAGAATTTGATGGATTTTGCTCACCTTCTACTGTAGTGACTGCATGGATATTTCTATGCAATTTTCTTGGCAATAATATGAAAGTGATCTATCATTACTTTCTTCCACTATGTTTTTCCAATTCCCAATTCAGCTGGTAGCCTGGGAATTAATGGTGATCTCCTATCTAAGTACTAAACTGATCCAGCCCTCTCTAGGTGTTTTGTTGTTATTATTGTTGTTAAGATTAGCCAAAATAAAGGTAAAGTCCAGAATGTAGTATGCTTCTGCAGGATCTTCCCCTTTCATCAGAATGATACATGTTCCTCTTCTTTTGTACATTAATATGATGTCACAACCTGTGAACAAAAGGAACAGAGCTTACATTGTATCAATACAATGCTGTTTTCATCATTTGTTCCCTTTGACCCCATCAAGCGAAATGCTTCTGACTAGGTGTCAAATTCTTTGTGCATCAGTGAATTCTCCCCAGTGTTTTACCAAGAAATTCAGATTGAGGGACTATTTGAATTTTAAAAGGAATAAGAACAGAAAATGGAGACTTAACAAATGTGATTTCATACAGCATACCTAAACATTTTCCAAAATACTTCAAAGTGTCTTTTTATTTGATTTCTACTATTTGTGACATTTGTTTCTATAATTGTGCATAACTGTGTATGTGAGTTTCTTGATTCCAGTACATTCAGAAATTCTATTGATATTTTTATTAAATCTTTTGCATGATCTGGAAGAAGGCCATTTTTGTTTAAGAACATAAGTTATTGATAAGAAAGAGCACTAAAGTATTGGTTTGTAAGTTGCCAGAGGTGAATTCTCATTTCTAAGGCAATGTAGGAAAGAAATGATTGACTCAAACAAATATTTTCAGCTTACAAATTGTATATCTGACATCTTCACTTAGAAGTCATAGGATATTTTTCAGGGAGTTGAGGAAATAATATTCCACGGAACATGTACAAAACACATTCAGATTTTCTTCTAATAATCCTCTTGTGTTAAATCATCATAACATGCATGATTACTCAACTTCTTATATATACATTTGTCTCTGTAGTGTAACTTTATAATAGCAACTATTTTAATATGCATAGTTTCTTCTACACATTTACATCCTATAGACAAATCTAATTCTTCATATTTCTCTTTTTACTTTTTCTGTCTCCTCTCCATTTTGTATGTGTTCCAACATGCAGGGGAGGTCAGGTGAATCTGGAACTAGAGGCCCTAAAGGGTCAAAGGTCAGTCATTAGCAACATCTGGTTTTATTGGTTAAGTACACTAAACCAACACAGTTATTTATTTACTGCCATTTTTGCATGTGTGAATTCTGTATGTGGATGGGGTGCTATGTATAGTAAGCACATGTCATTGTCTGTTTCTTTTACTAGAATGTTCAAAGACTATCAGTTTAAAAAGTAGTAAAATTATTTTCAGTAACTGAAAAGACAAAGTGTATATAACCCTTAGCTTTTCCTAGTGAAAGTTTTCACTCCCCAGTTAACTCCCTTTTCAGTTATTTCTGAGTTCTTTGCTATATAAGGTCCTGTCTTTTCTTCCAGTTCGTTGATTAGTACCACATTTTAGTGCAGTATTTAGGTTTACACTAAAATTAAACGAGACATTACATACTATTTGACATTAGACATTAAGACTAGCAGTTAGAGGCAAAGCATGCTCTGAATGAAAAGTGAAAATGTTAAAAGTATGGAATAACTGAATTTTTTTTGACCTGAGGCAAAAAAGATGACAGAATAGATTTCTGATAACCTGCTTTCAGGAAGCCAGGGTTTTATTGCCAAAAAAGGTGCTACCATTAGATAAAGGACAGCTTTCTCTGATTATCTGAATTTTAAACATGGGAATAAATCTCCAGGTTTCCATTGTGTCTGGAAAAAACTGTCTGTTGGCATTTTTCTATAATAGATGCAAAATCCTTATTTTTAACAATTATATATCTGGTAAATTAGTAAAATTTTGAGGTAATCTTTGAATTTATCCCCATATATAATGCATTACAAAAGTCAATTATCATGGAAATTCGGTTTTGTCTGAAAATTTGTATATTACATCAGAACCTGTAATTATGTAATTACAATGAACAATTTTCTGAATTGGCCTTACTCTTTCAAACTGATGGCTATAGCTTTCTTGACAGGAAAGTATACAAAGAACTTTTTTTGGAAAATGCCTTCTGATGTCTTCTGGACATACAGAATTTTAAGTTTTAGCTAACAGTCCAGATTACAGTTGGTGGAGTAAATTCTAAGTATTGCAAACAAACATACCTGGGAGGCCCCAAATTGGAGGAAATACTTTGAGATATTCATTAACTCTAACCGTAACTTGAAGCATTTCTGACATTTTAATTGTTATGAATGTAAGCAATGTTTATTGTTAAACAGTCTTAGAACATAGAATAACATAAAATAACAGGGCTGAAAGGGACCTTAGAGCAGGGCTTTTCAACCTTTTCACCCATTGTACCATTTTTAGGATATGGCAATATTTGAGTGCCACTAGTCGCCTAGCAAGGTGTCAAAAACTTGATGACCCCCCCAAAAAAGGAAAAAAAGTGATAAAGTACAAGTAGTCCTCGACTTAAAACAGTTCGCTTAGTGACTGTTCGAAGTTACAATGGTACTGAAAAAAGTGCCCCCCAAGCCACAGCCGAGTAAGACACATGCCTGCCTGCCTGGCGGCGCTCTTCCTTCTGTCCGAGGTTTTCATTGTTGTGAGCATTTCTGTTGAGGGGGTGGGGTGGGGGGTGTTTGGTTTTTATTCCCCCTGTCTGCTGGGTGGTTGCAGAGGTTTTGGTCACTTCACATGACCCTGGGACACTGTGACCATCATAAACATGAATCAGTTGCCAAGCATCACAAGACCCTGGAGATGCTGCAACATTCCAGCTGATTGGCGCTTCTTCTGGGCTCAGCAGAAGCACCAGGATCAGTGCTGAGCTCCAGCTGGAGCCTACTGCTGATCCTGGCACTTCTGCTGAGCCCTGACAGCCCTGCAGCTCCAACCATCTCTCACTCAGGCTTATTTATTTATTTATTTATTTTCAAATATTTATATGCCGCCCAATCCCAAAGGACTCGGGGCGGCGTACAAAGTTAAAACAATCATAAAACAATAAAATAAAGCAGTCATACCACGAGTCCGATCATATCCCGGCCCCCCGGGGACATCAGTCCCAGGCCTGCCGGAACAGGAGGGTTTTAACGGCCTTCTTAAAGGCCGGCAGGGTGGGAGTAGTTCGAACCTCGGGGGGAAGTTGATTCCACCAGGTCGGAGCCACCACAGAAAAGGCTCTTCCCCGAGGGCCCGCCAGCCGACACTGTCTGGCCGACGGGACCTGAAGGAGGCCCAATCTATGGGACCTCACCGGTCTCTGGGAGCTGTGCGGCAGAATGTGGTCCTGTAAGTAACCTGGCCCTATGCCATGAAGGGCTTTGAAGGTGATAACCAACACCTTGAATTGCGTCTGGAGACCCACAGGAAGCCAGTGCAGCTCGCAGAGGATAGGTGACACGTGGGCGTACCTTGGCGCGCCCACAATCGCTCTCGTGGCTGCGTTCTGAACCAACTGCAGCCTCCAAACGCTCTTCAAGGGTAGCCCCATGTAGAGCGCGTTACAGTAATCCAGTCTTGAGGTGACAAGGGCATGAGTGACTGTGAGTAAAGCCTCCCGGTCCAAATAAGGCCGCAACTGGTGCACTAGGCGAACCTGTGCAAAGGTCCCCCTGGCCACAGCCGATAGATGTTGTTCCAGATTTAGCTGTGAGTCCAGGAGGACACCCAAGTTGCGTGCCTGCACTGAGGGAGGTAAATTTGCCCCCCCCCAGGACTAAAGATGGACCATCCAGTTGGCCTTTGGGAGGCAAGACCCAGAGCCACTCGGTCTTGTCAGGGTTGAGTCTAAGCCTGTTCACCCCCATCCAGACCCTCACATCTTCCAGGCACCGGCACATCACGTCGACTGCTTCACTGAAAGGACACGGGGTGGAGATATATAATTGGGTATCATCCGCGTACTGATGATACCTCACCCCGTGTCGCCGAATGATCTCACCCAGCGGTTTCATGTAGATGTTAAAAAGGAGGGGGGACAGGACCAAGCCTTGAGGCACCCCATGATCGAGGTGCCTAGGGGTCAATCTCTGTCCGCCCGCCAACACCGACTGCGACCTGTCAGAGAGGTAGGAGGAGAACCACCGCAATACGGTGCCGCCCACTCCCACCTCTCCGAGACGACGCAGAAGGATACCATGGTCGATGGTATCGAAAGCCGCTGAGAGGTCAAGAAGCACCAGGATAGAGGAATAACCACTATCCCGGACTCGCCAGAGGTCATTGGTCAGTGTGACCAAAGCAGTCTCAGTGCTGTAGCCGGGCCTGAAACCAGATTGAAAAGGGTCCAGATAATTGGTTTCATCCAAGGATCGCAAGAGTTGAGACGCCACCACCTTCTCTACAACCTTCTCCACAAAGGGGAGGTTGGAGACGGGACGAAAGTTCTTCAAAACAGCTGGGTCCAGGGAAGGCTTCTTGAGGAGGGGCCTCACCACCGCTTCCTTTAAAGGTTGTGGTGCTGCCACCAGTTCAGCTCATTCCCCTCTCCCGCTACCACTTTTCTAGGATGGTTGCATACCACCTGCCAGGTGCCAATGTACCACAGGTGGTACCCGTACCACTGGTTGAAAAGCCCTGCCTTAGAGTTCTTTTTTTCCAACCCCCTGCTCAAATAAGAGTCCTCATTCCATCCTATACAAATGTTATCCAATCTCTTCTCAAAAACGTCCGGTGATGAAGCACCCACAACTTCTGGAAACAAGCCATTCCTTGGATTAATTATTCTCACTGTCAGGAAATTTCTTCTTAGTTCCAGGTTAGATTTCTCTGTAATGATCTTCCACCAGTGGCTTCTTGTCCTGCCCTCAAGTGCTTTGGAGAATAGGTTGGCCTCTTCTTGTCTGTGACAGCTCCTCAGCTATCATGTCATCCCTAGTCCTTCTCTTCATAAGGGGGTGTGATGGCTCAGCAGTTAAGATGCTGAGTTTGTCAGCTAGAAAGCTGACAGCCCAGCCTTGCAAGATAATCCAGGCAAGAAACAAACCCAGAAATATTCTTTCTACTTTTTTGTAAGGTTACATTAATAGAATCTTTCAAGCCTCAAAGTACATTTCTCTGTCACCTTTACAGCACCGCCCCCCCCCACACTAGGGGGGATCCTTTCTGAGATATTTCCCATGGCCACATTCTTTCTGTGGCTAAGCAGCCACTTATCCAAACATTGCCCTTACTGCAGTTCTTTCCTATTCATTCCACGTTATCTTTTTCTTCACAGGAAGATTAGAATGATTAGAATCAATTCATAATCCCTTTTTGATAAAAAGATTTGATTTTTGCCTGCTTTTACAAAAGCAACACCCTCCTTGCCATGTACCCCAGCTTTTAAAAAGCTGTTTCTTTTTCTTCCAATCATCTGCAGTTATAAAATGTTTTCTCTGCAACCATCGTTGCAGCTCTTGAGGAAAACAGCTGCCCACAATATTACAGCCATGCCAGCTTCAGAACTTTCATTGACAATTTAAATGCAGGAAACATGCCATAACAAGACAGTTATCTTCTCATACCAATCTCTTGTAATTATTGTAGATTGTTCAAATGTATTTAAGATTTACTGAGAACAGAGGAGGCTGTTTCCATTTTGTTTAAGGGGGAGTGAGAACCTTTTTGGTGACTCTCTCAAGCAAATCAATAACTAAATGATTACTTTGCAATCTTTATTGATCAGGCTACTGCAGGAGCTTATTGGCTTATGGTATTCTCAGCCTTCTCTCAGTGCTTTCATCTTCAAAAAAATTAAGACAATTTTGGTACCCACTTCAAAATTCTGTTGGGAGGTTTTGATGACTTTAGTTTTCTTCTGTAATAACAAACTTTTTTCCCCATTAGGGTGATCCAGGAAATAACGGTGATTTGGGAGCAGTGGGACCAAGGGTAAGTGAGCTGAAATATGTTCCTTAACTGACAGTATGCAAAATAACTCCCTTGAGGCAAAGAGATTAAGTCATTATTTTCAGGTCTGGTTATATAATCTATATCAATGTTTCTCAATGTTGGCAGATGTGGGACCTCAGTTCCCAGAATTCCTCAGCCTTTATACTTTGCTTTATACAGTGCTGGATGGGGAATTCTGGGAGTTGACCAACACTGATCTAGACTTATAAGATCCACTTCAATAATGCATTGAAAAAAGTGAGTAGTGATAACATGTATTCTAACAGCACTGAAGTATTAATATGCATCCTCCAATAGACAGTTCTTTCACATTTAATAATCATTATTTAATAAATAATCATTATTCATTAACACATAGCATATAGATATACTGATTCTCACAAATATTTGTCTACTATTATTAATAATAATTTATTAAATGAATGTTGCCTGACTCTAAATGATTTGGTATTGTTTTTAAACATAGCACCTACTACAATTTACACATCTACAACCTTGTGCATTAAATAACTGATATATGAAACTAAGTTACATACATATACTCATAGACTATAAAATAGATTGGAAATCTTTTTCTCTCTCAAAAAAAAACAAGAAAAAAGAAATGGTGATTAGATATAACTGGAGTTGCATTCTAGAGTTTTAAAAACTAATATTGATATGATTGGGATTAGATTTAACATGTGCTAATAGTCCAATAAATATCAATAATCTGTGCTTTGCTGATGACACTATAGCTGTGAAAATACACAGCAGCTGAGACCATCCACTTTGCTACTGGTGATCTTCTTTTTCCCTTCTTCCATCTTTTCCAGCATTATAGATTTCTCAAGAAAGTGGGTTAATTGTACAATGTATTCAAAGTATACAATAAAAATTACAAAGAAACTCATTGTAAATGTAGAGCAGACTAAGCTAATGACAACAGGTATAGCAACCATATTTAGAGCTCACAAAGACACTGAAATAATTATAATTTCTACCATTTTTGATAGACTATCAACAAAAATGGAATCAGTTGTCAAAAAACAGTTTGAACACATTGTGCAAAGACAATCTCTGCTGGGAAAAAGAATGAGTGCTAAATTAGGAAATAGGTGGAAATAGGAATACATTAATGTTCATATACTAGTGGAATGAAGTGTAATAAGTTATACTTGCAAAGCGAGGCTAGGAAAATGAAATTGTTTTTACTGCATTCATTAACATTTTGTTATGTGGGTTTGTGACAAATGCGACATGTTTGTACATTTCCAGTGCTTTTTTTATAGGGTCCACCTGGAGAAAAAGGTGACCAAGGTGCCACAGAAATTATTGATTTCAATGGAAATATTCATGAAGCTTTACAGGTTTGTAACTAATATACAATAAATATGCTGTTGCTCATATGTTACCAGTATAACTGAGCAATAAAGCATATACTTTGCATATATATGATCCCTGGTTTAATTCCACCATAACAGAACTTGGAAATGTTGATAATAAATAGTAGGTGTGATTCAATGGGTAAATGTATTTTTAGAAAACACCATGTACAATGATTATCTGGAACAGATTATCCTTAATCTATTGTTCCTTGGATGTATTTGACACATCAACATATACATTTTCTAGGTAATATTGATATTGGCTGGGAGTTCTAGTTCCAACTTTTAGGAAGGTACCAAATTAGGGAAGCCTGATCTGGAATCTTACTTGTTTGCATTCTTCCATGATAGCATTAAATAAATGATTGCTTTCCATGATAGCATTAAATAAATGATTGCTTTTGTAAGATCTTTGCTTACAATTTATGGTTAATAAGATGATAGAATATATTTCAATATTAAATATTTGCATTGAGTTAATCCAAAATGTCATAACAGGGAGCAGCAGCTAATTAATCATATATTAGTTTGGGGGAAGCTAAGTAGGGTCAGATTCAGTTAGTATTTAGATGGGAATACTAACTACTAGGGCTATAAACTAATTTGGGAAGTTAAACAAAAAAACAAAAAAAATGGTAAGCAAATTCTGTACTATCATTAAGAAAAAAGGAGTCAGATACAAATCAATGGGTATCTTTCCCCTTGCTTTTTTCTATCATCCAAAATAGTTCACAAACATGTATATTTCAAATGAAGTTATTTTAATATAGGACAAATGACTACATGGGACAATTCTTATAATGTAGTCATATATCTATCTACTGAAAAAATTGTCTCATTATATAGATATACTGTATGTTTGCAAACTTAGTTACTTTTGCCAATATTGTATAAGATTCATCCTTACCTTTTTTCAAGGACTTTTTCAAAGAACTTTTCAAGCTGTATAGAAGTTAATTTTGATTCCTGTGGATGGTGCTTAGCGCAGTAAACAAAAGACTCACTATAGAGATCAATCACTAACTTTCCTTTCTGAAGATGAAAGTTATAAGTTATAGCAAGATTTTTTTGCATGAAACCTACATTCCATAATCTTTACAGAATAAAAAACTTTCATCATTGAAAAGTACAAAGTATTTAATGTCTACATACAAAATATAAGATAAATACATGAGCAGCAGTCAAAATACTACAGAAATAAACATTTAAAAATAATATTCTTACTTTCCAGTAACCTTCAAAACACTGAAAAAATGAACATTTAAAATAAATCCTTTTACTGGTGATAAAATAATATATAACTACAAATAGGATTTTCATCCAAAATACAGGAATTAATGTACTCCATCTATATAAGTAAGACGTTTTCCTCATGCTGATTGTTTAGACATGGTTATAAATGATTAAATTAAGCATTTAAGTAAAATTTAAAGTTACTTTTTGATAAATGCTAAAACATGTTCTGCACATCTTTTGGAAGTCACAGAAATTACTTTATTTGAAACCATGTCATGATCAGATATAAGGAAATATTTCTTTTAGTTAAATTTTGATCATAATTCTTTATTTATATGAATTTTATTTGATCTTGCTCTATTGAGATCATTACTATTTGAGATATTTCAGCATTGTATAGTTTGTTCATATAAATATCATCCAGTTTAAGTCACACATCATTAAATAATTATAGTCACTTAATTATTTATAATTCCACAGATGCTTATAGAGCATTATTTGTGAGTTTACAAAAATTGATCTTAAAATCATTATAATATAATAGGAAACTGACAGCACTGTTTCTTTTTGAAAGCAAACAAAGTAATTCAAAGTAAGTACCTTAATACATGGATTGTTAAGTATAATTACTTAGATGTAAAGATGTAAGAGTAATCTTTTATTTTCGGGGAGCTAGTCAAATGCTTCTCTTAAGCTTTCCTCAATTTTGTGAAGTCTGTTTCTAAACAAGCAAAGTATTCTATTTCAAACTGAACATCTGGTAACATTATTTTCTGCTAATATATTTTGCCAACAGAGGATTACCACCTTAACTGTCACGGTAATTCCTATTGCATGACGGTGTTTTGTTTTTTTCTGTGGTGTTGCATGTTTAGAGTTATTCTGATTTATAAATGTGTCTTTGTCCACCAGATATTAATTTTGCATTATCAGCACCTCTATTTTCTAAATCAGGTGTATCAGTGGAAAGTTAGGACTCTAGTTTTACTACTTATAGTAATTAATAGAAGCAGTATGGCCATTTCAGCAAAAAAAAAAAAAAAAGTAGGGATTCAAGCTTTCTTTTTTTAAAAAAATGTTTTATTGATTCAAGCTTTCATTAGCATTGTAAAATTTGTTTAACCATGTTTATTAAAACCAGGCATTGGTGCAATTTTCAGTGGGAATTTTAAAATGCAGTAACTTAAAAAGGGATTGATTTTTCCTGTAACTTACTTTCCTGAATTATTTTTTTTTAAAAAAAAATCATATTGGTTGTGTTAGAAGATACATCACAAGTTTGCTTCAAAATTATATTTATTTCATCCAGTATAATTTATATATATTTAAGTGCCATTAATAAATAATTTTTGAACACAGTTGGATGAAATTTCAGTACGTCTGCCTTTTAAAAATATTCCTTTTCTATTCAGAATCAATAACGACTAAAAGGGAATACTTGTATTATTTCAAAATGTGTAATATAATATTAACATACATTGAAACCTAACTAGCTGAAAACATCCCTGAGTCTCAATTTTTTTGAATTTTCCCATTGGCCTTCTTTACCTCTACTTTCATAAATTTACAGGTAAAGCAAGTTAATATAGAAGTCAGCCAAAGATAGATAAACAATGGTATTTCCAGGAAATATACTTGTTAAGGTGCTGAATTAGAAAATTGGGAAATCATGAGTTTTAGCTATCCTTAGGTATAGACTTTTGGATTCTTTCAGCCCAAGTCCTCTTAAAGAGTTGTAATGAAATAGGAAGTGGGAGTATTATCTACAACACCTAGAGTTGTACAAAATAAATACAGGTTAAGGTTATTATAATAATAATAATATTTGTGGGGTTTTGTTTTTTATAATTCATATAAGATAATTAAGTGTTAGTAATATTTCAATGAAACTTTTGCTTTATTTTATTTGTTATAGAAACTTTTATATAAATAGATTTTTCTTTGTTCGTTAGTTCATTACTATATTGCAATCAGCATGAAATACCTATATGCTAAATTAGTATTGGAAGAAAAAAAGGTAGCTCAATGACAGCTTGTATTATTACTTTGATTTACTGTATACTTACATTAAATTGTGTGGCATAATGTCTCAAGGGCAATTCTTATTCTTCTGGTCTTTACTGCTTATCACATAGCAAAGCAGAGAAGATCTCTGACTAAAATCATGTAGATCAAAGGCTGGCAGCATCATAGTATCTGCATAGCCCAACTTGGCCTCAAATATCTTAATTGTTGTGATCAGACCCCCATAACAAAACAAGCTAGATTTTTGTCTTGTTATTTCTATTTTTGGGAGTTTACCTTCTGTCAATGTCACTCATCCCAGCTCTTGACAGGAAATTGAGGTGTGTGACTTTTTAAAAATAAAAAAATCAAACTTTAAGGATGACCTTTTTGAATAGATGCTATTAAAACTCTGCAGAGACTGGGCAATTTGTTTTGCAGTTATACCCTGGGGTTTGGAAAGTAGTTGTGAACCTACCATTAACAGCCAACCAGACCATATTTTACCCTGCTATAAGGCAGCCAAATAACCAAGCCTTTTTCAATGAAACTCCATACAGATTTGTTTTATCCAAGACTTAGTTACAAGATTTACAATTATACAAGTTTGCTAGTTCGAAGTATGCAGAGAGAAGGGCAATAATCTTGTAGTTTTCCTCTCTCAGTATTTTCTGCATAATTTTCTGGTACTAGGGACTCAGTCATCTTTGAAATGAGATTATAGTCTTCTCAACTAGGATTCCATGAGTCTCTAAGCTCCACAGAAGCTCACTAGGAGTTCTGCAAGAGATCATGATTGAATATATATATATATATATATATATATATATATATATATATATATATATATATATATATAAAACACTGCATGCCATTAATTCTAGTGCTCACAGTGATTGGAATTTTTATGTGCCAGGATTCAGCCTATTGCTTTGCTAGTGTTGTACATGTTGTAAAGCAGATTTCATCACTGCTGTTTAATAATATCATTCTAATATTTAATTGTAACACATTTTGCCTGTCTATCTGTATATGGTCATCAATTGTCATTGGTGTTGTTAGTCCTTGACTGTTTTAATGCAGTTTTCTTGTTGTGATGCTTATTTTGCGTAACATATTAAAATATGTTTCAGAAAAAAGTTTAATGAATGTATGGAGTGGATACTGCAATAAAGTGAATTAATTTTATATTTAGGGTCCTCCAGGCCCACCTGGACTCCAAGGATTGCAAGGATCAAAGGTGAGCATATCAATTGTATTTGTGTGATTATCAGTACATTATGTATTTGATATAATTAATAATGACATGAAAGTCTCTATCACTGTGTGCTTTGAAGATCTTATACTAAGATGATTCAAGTAAAAATATTTAGTTCAACAATAATAAATTATTGTATAACAACTAAGTTTTTTCAACAAATTTAACAAAATGATCATAACATAATTTTCTTACGTTATTCTTGAAGTGCTTTAAAAGAATTTTAAATACCAAACACTTGTGAAGCAAGATTATATAATCTATTATTCATGGGAATACTATTTAGGGAAGAATTTCTTGGTATCCCAAAGATTATAGACCTGTCCATTTGTTCTTGGTCTTTTGTGAAGCCATTAGAGAGAGAAACTTTGTTGAACCACATCAAGAGCTAGTGAGGATGATGATGATCGTTGTTGTTGTTGTTGCTTGTTTCAAGAAAGCATATTTGGAATTGAATCGGAATTCCTAGTTCAAACTAAATGACAACATTTCAAGAGCTGAAGTAGGTGCCTTTGATATGTTCCTTGTAAGAGGAGAAGGCACATGGATCAAGCAGACTTATTTATTTAGTATTAAATTACATTATATTCCAAATAATAATACCACAGTGGAATTAAGTTGGAGCTGGATTTTATTTTGCAGGGTGAACCTGGATCACCAGGATTATCTGGTGCTGATGGGGAGCAGGTACTTGAACATGTCTTCATGATATTACTATTGATAAAGGAATATGATATGATAATGGTTCACCAAAAACTGAATATAAAGGAAGAGAGGGAGGGAGGAGGAAGGAAATACTGCTATCCTTAAATAATAAAAAATATTGCCAGATATTAATGTAATTACATTTTTTACTTCTGAAGTTAATGCATTGGTTTAGTTCATGTTGATTTACATTGTTAGCATAATGCACATTTCATAGTCATAAATATGCTATTTCAGGGACCCAAAGGTTCCAAGGGTGATCTGGGTGACCCAGGAATACCAGGAGAAAAAGGGGGTATTGGACTTCCAGGTTTGCCAGTAAGTTTGTTTAAAATTGTCTTTGATAGCAACATTTCTCACTACTGCTTCAGTATCTTTTTCTCAAGGACAATCATATTGTTTTTATTTTAGAACATGTTACTTGGTGCTATGCAAAAAGATTTGCATGAAGGAAGTACAGCAATGGAAGACAGGGGGAGAAAAGAGTGGTAGTTTTAATTAATTTCAAATGAGGCTTAGCAGAACCAAAAGAAATGACAGTTTTGAGGAAAACTTTGAAAGAAGAGAAGAAATAACGGGGTTTTTTGTGGAAGGAATCCCAAGTGTATGTAAATAAAATTCTCCTGCAAAATCAAAAAGGTATAGAAATAATAAATCATTCTTGATTCATCTTCCTTTGGAAAACTTTCAATCAACTACTTTGATGGCAAATCAATTAACTGTGTTTTAACTCCAAGATAAGATAAAGCTAACTAGCAAAATTTCAAATAAATATATTAATTAAACTTAGTGGGAGGTGAACTCTTTACAGGATAAAGCAGTATAGGAATAGCTTAAAATGCAATATTATTTGTAAGTGTGTTATTCTTCATGTTAACTTAAATATATTCATTTGCCATTCTACCTGGGTAAACACTGTTGATTTTAGCTCATTATACTGTGCCACAGAGTATTTAAAGTATTCTCCTTCCCTCCATCTCTCTCTCCCTCCCTCCCTCTTTCTTTTTCTCCTTTCCTTCTTACTTATAGTGTATTATTAATAGCCTGACCAGGCGATAGCATTCCTGTGAAAACATTTCCACATTATCAGGCATCTTTAGGTTCTTACTGTATAAGTAAAATGAAAGCAGCTGTGTATAACATCCCACTGAGCAGATAAAGAATTGAAAACACTGCTGGCTTGTTTTTGGGCAGTTATTTTTCTTCTCAAGTGTACTACTCTCACAAAGGTGATGATACATTTCATACATTTAAAGTTCATATCAACTGCAGGAAATCAGGAGTCAGAGGTTCAAATGAATACTTGTTTATTGCTCGCTAAAACTCTTTATAAGAATCTGAACTACTAATGGTTAAAACAAATTGGGGGTAGATAAGAGTCAATAGAATTCAAGCTGGGATGGATTTAGATCTCTAGTAGGTGTGAAGGAATTCAAAACTGATAACATGATTGACCCCTTCTTTGGTCAGCCTGGTCATCTCCTACAGTTCAATGTTAAACTCAATTCAAACTCAAACAAAAAAGCAATATTTAAATAAATCTGACAATATTTTTCTTGTAACTAAACTTCTTTAACATAGTAGGTGTGTTTCAAGTTTCTACAAGTTAGCTTGAAAAAATACAGCAGAATATAATACAAGTATTGCATCCAAATAATTCCACATTCAGTTCCTGCTATCTCCAAGGGGTATGGAAGAACCCAGTCTAAAACTCTGGATCGCCATTATTGGTCACTGTAGAATCATTCTCTCAACCTGATGCCTTGGCTGACAAAGATCCAACACTACATGGCATGTTCTGAATATCAGAATTGTTTTGAACATCAAAATATAAGGGACACCCTCTTCACAATTATGACTATTGTGGATATGCCAAATACACAGACATATTCAATGTTAGGCATACTGAGGATATTTGTAACTAATTTTCAACACATCAAATCCTGTAGGAACACCTAAAAAACCTTTTGATCACATCACTTGAGTTGCACCTGACATCTTGAAATAATTGAAGTTGGTACCCAGCACAGATTCAGCCAGCCCAAAGATGGTTCAGATACTTTGGATTGAATTTATCTGGTTGGAATAGGAGGCTAAATAACAATATAAGACAAATTAGGTCTTATAATTAAATATGTAAAGTCATGTTTTATTGCATAAAAATTCATCAGCCAATAAGATGAAAGTATTTATAATAATACCATAACATTTTTGTAGGGATCCAATGGAATGAAAGGAGAAAAAGGAGATGTTGGATTACCAGGTTCTCAAGGTCCCTCTGTAAGTCTTGCTATATTTTTTCAGTGTTCCTGTAAAATAATCTTTTGGTTTTCTAACCAGTTGTCGTTTAATGGCTGCCCTATTTAGTGACCATTTGAAATTATGCTGAAAAAATAATTTAATGACCAATGTTTGCATTTATGATCATCGAAGCATCCCCACTATCATGTAATTGAGATTTGGCTGCTTCAAAGCCAACAGGCATTTACAACCAAAGCACTATCCCCCAATCACATGATTTAAATAGCCACCTGCTTTTTAACCAACTCTGAGCAGCTCCCAATCAGAAATTAAAACAACATAATATCATATTAAAACTATGAAACTGAACCAATCAAAACATTAAAAGCAACATGATTGTCATATATGGGCTTCATAGCCATCTCGCAGAATCAGTGGAGAAATGTGAAGTAAAAATGAGGAGTCGTGGTCACATGAAGTCTTGCTTAATGACCATGGGTGATTCGCTGTATGATTGTGGTACAAGGGACATAGGTTTTGCTTAATGATTTTTATTTTGATTTGCAAACTGCCCTGGGCTTTAGGAAGGGTGATACAGAAGTGAAATAAAAAAACAATAAACACAACATGCTCTAACAAAGGGTAACACCAGTAGCACATCCAAGGGATTACAGCTAATTGCATGGTCCCAGCAGATCAGTCAACTGTGTCTGTTAAAATGATAAACTTATTTTCTAAATATATATATATATTTATATGCATATACTTTACGCAGCTCATAGGTCCTCCAGGTTCTCCTGGTCCACACGGTCCACCAGGACCTATGGTAAGTATTTTTAGCCATTTATCTATTGTGTGGTTCATGAATTAAAGCAATCTATCAGTGTTTCATATCCTTGAAAGCCTAGATGTCCACATAACAAAACCTAATGTTTTCAGGAGCTCTTAGTATAGAAGAAATTGGGGGAAAACAAAAAAAAGTTCAGGTAGTATCAAATATTTTTCTAATGAATTGTAATATAGGCAGAAATGTGAAAGAGTAATTTTGCAAAGGTGCTTTTGACTATATAAATGTAAGTAACAAGATCCTATTGATTCTGCTTGTTATCAGTGTTTTTTATATATTTTCAAAATATGTAAAAACATCAAAAACATTTTGGAGTTGAAAATCGATAGAGGCTTTTAATTTGCTAGACTTGGCTTGACTTTTGTTAAATAATTAAGAGATATTACTCAATGCAGTTTTGCCCAGCCATCCCTTCCTAAGTCATACACATGGACACAACCACATGCATACACACTGAGAGAGCTCCTCTAATATAATATATAGAAACAATATAGAAATGCATCCTGTAATTGTTATTTTTTAATTTATTTTTAGGGACCTCATGGACTCCCAGGGCCAAAGGTAAAGAATTTAGTCCACAACTAAAATAATTTTCCTAATTTGTCATGCTGTCATTCTCATTAATCATGTTGAGGCATGCACTTAAAATTTGTCCTTGTCTCATTTTTTCTGTGATTTTTTTTTAATATTCGTAAACCTTTAAGCATCTGCTTAAAATAAAATGTCAAAACGTATATAAGGATTTATGGCAATTTCCTGTGTCTGTTCCACATCAATGTAAGCTAAATTAGCTTTCTATAATGTTAATTATGGAGAGCCACTATTAAAATTTAGTTGTCTGGTGATAGTTTCAAACTATGACATTTGGAACTACCTTACAGAAAAGTTTAAGAAAACAGAGGACGAGTGTTTATGTACTTAAGAAGTTTTTTTAAAAAATATTTTCTTCTTCACTGCTGTCTTTCAGTCTTCTAATCAAGCTCATTTCTTCTCTTAAATTAATATGTTCTTTTGAATTATTTTGCCCATATCTTTGTATTTGAAAATCCATGTTCCTAACAATACCAGTCAAAAATCCACCCTTGCGGTTCAAAGTATTATATAAAATATATGGAAATTTAAATGTGCATGCAAACACATTGTTCAATATTTATCCACTTCAAAAAGAATAATTAAAGCCCTAATATACTTTAATGCTATTTGCATTTATTATTGCTATTATTATTGCTATTATTGATTATTATTGCTACTATTATGATTATTATTATTTTGTGTATGTATGTGTGTGTGTGTGTGTGTGTGTGTGTATATATATATATATATATATATATATATATATATATATATATATATATATATATGTTTTCTGAGGTTTTCGCGGGTGTGTGTATGTAGGTCTGTGGTTGTTCGGGTTTTCTCCCGCGTAAAATTGGAAGTGTCTTGGCGACGTTTCGACGAAGTCCCATTCGTCATCTTCAGGCTGGTGTTTTCAGCTTCGTGCTTCGAGCAGCAATGTGTGGTCTTAGCTGTTTCTTCCTTTTAACTGCCAGTGGGGGTATGAACTGATTGGGTGGGAGCTTGGCTGTGTTCTGATTGGGTGGAGGTGTGTTTGATTGGTTAGGGGCTTGGCTGTGCTCTGATTGGCTGGGGGGTTGGCTGTGCTCTGATTGGCTGGGGGAGTGTTCTGTTTGGTTGTGCTCAGGTTAGTCTGAGTTGCAGAGGGTTTAAGATTTTGGGCTGCCTTGCTATTTTTTGGCTTCGCGTTCGTGGTCGTGCCTCCTCTTCATGGAGGGTGTCAGTTTGCTTCATGTATGGATTGGAGGGGTTTAAAGTGGCTAATGATGCAGCTGTGGTCTGGCTTCTGGTTTGTGGTCGTGCCTCATCATCGGTGTGGCTTTGGGTTTGTTTTTTGCGTGGATGTGTGGTGGTGACATCCTGTGTGGTTTTTGTGAGTGTGGGTCTGGTATCATTTTTTGTGTTAGGGAGTCGTTTGTCAATAAGGGCGGGTTTCCAAATGGCTGGTAGGCGGGAGGTATCATCTCGCTTGTTCATGCTGTGTGGGCGTTTTTTTATCTCGATGGCTTCTCTGATTATTCTGTTATTAAAATGTTCACTTTTGGCAATGGTTCTGGTATTTTTAAAGTCAATTTCATGTCAGTTGGTTGTTAGCTTCTGTTTCCATGGTGAACTGTATTTTGGGTGTAGGCTGTTGAGGTGTGTGAGGAAGTTGTCCAGTTTTTGGCCACATGGGAAAGAAAAACTGGACAACTTCCTCACACACCTCAACAGCCTACACCCCAAAATACAGTTCACCATGGAAACAGAAGCTAACAACCAACTTCCCTTCCTGGATGTCTTAGTCTACAAGAAATCCAATGGCTCCCTAGGACACACCATCTACCAGAAGAAAACACACACAAACCGCTATCTGCACGCTCTCTCACACCACCACCCAGCACAGATCAACTCTGTAGCCAAGACACTCATCTCCAGAACAAAACGCTTAGCTGACGAACAACACCTAAAACCCGAACTACACACTCTCACCAATGTACTAACATCCAATGGATTCCATAGAAATAAGATTACAAACCTAATCCAAAAAGAAACCCCCACTAAAATCCAAGACAAAGAACAAGAAAACGGCAAAGCCCTCCTCCCATACATAAAAGGCACCACAGACAGAATCAGTAAGATCCTCCATAAACACAACATCAAAACAGCATTCTGCACAAACAGAAAAATATCCACCATCCTTAGAAACCCCAAAGATAAAATTGAATTAGAAAATCAAGGAGTATACGAAATCCCATGCACCACTTGTCCCACCACATACATCGGACAAACCAACAGAAGAATAAGTGCACGCATTGAAGAACATAAGAACTCAGTCAAAAAAGAGGAACCAACATCTTCCCTGGTCCAACACCTTAAAGCCACAGGACATGAAATTGACTTTAAAAATACCAGAACCATTGCCAAAAGTGAACATTTTAATAACAGAATAATCAGAGAAGCCATCGAGATAGAAAAACGCCCACACAGCATGAACAAGCGAGATGATACCTCCCGCCTACCAGCCATTTGGAAACCCGCCCTTATTGACAAACGACTCCCTAACACAAAAAATGATACCAGACCCACACTCACAAAAACCACACAGGATGTCACCACCACACATCCACGCAAAAAACAAACCCAAAGCCACACCGATGATGAGGCACGACCACAAACCAGAAGCCAGACCACAGCTGCATCATTAGCCACTTTAAACCCCTCCAATCCATACATGAAGCAAACTGACACCCTCCATGAAGAGGAGGCACGACCACGAACGCGAAGCCAAAAAATAGCAAGGCAGCCCAAAATCTTAAACCCCTCTGCAACTCAGACTAACCTGAGCACAACCAAACAGAACACTCCCCCAGCCAATCAGAGCACAGCCAACCCCCCAGCCAATCAGAGCACAGCCAACCCCCCAGCCAATCAGAGCACAGCCAAGCCCCTAACCAATCAGAACACACCTCCACCCAATCAGAACACAGCCAAGCTCCCACCCAATCAGTTCATACCCCACTGGCAGTTAAAAGGAAGAAACAGCTAAGACCACACATTGCTGCTCGAAGCACGAAGCTGAAAACACCAGCCTGAAGATGACGAATGGGACTTCGTCGAAACGTCGCCAAGACACTTCCAATTTTACACGGGAGAAAACCCGAACAACCAAAGACCTACATATATATATATATATATATATATATATATATATATATATATACACACACACACACACACACACACACACACACACACACACATATACAGTACATACATACATACATAGTAAAAAACAAAATCAAGATAAATTGTATGCTACTTTTTTAGAATCTGGAAAACATAAAATTCTATGGTCAAAACCTATAAATTAAACAAAAATAATGTACATATATCCTCTTTAGAAATGCCATGGAATTTTATTTAGCAGAGGTAGTGAATTATTTTTACATTTAAATTCTTTGTAAGAATTGGGAAAATTCATTGGAAATTATCCTGTTTTTTTAAAAAAAAATTATAAATGTTGGTACAATTAGAAATATCTAGATTTTTTCAGGGCAAAAGAGTTCCCTTATGAAAGAATTTCAGAAATGTTTACTTTGGTTGTCAGTAAGCATTTAATTACTTTTGGGGTAACTGTTACATTGTGGTCATTAGAAAGGATAAGCCAATGTATCACAGTCTTCCTCTGTTTAATTTATGATAGCCATACTTAAAGGTTTGGAATATGTTTTCATTAAATAATGCATATTTTAGTTCGCTATCTGAAGAAAAAGCCAGTTAAGGCAATGTAGAAAAAAAAATACTTTGTAATTCTGATTGATCAAATCACATTCACATTTTTCTGGTTTCATTAATTTTATTGAAAGCCTGCAAGATTATGAATGGATTTGGAATACATTTGCCATAAGCAACATGACAGTAAAATCATATTGTTCCAAATTATTCAGAAACATTTCAAGATGTATGTTTCAAACATGCAAGTTTATATAGATAGTTTTATGCTATCTACTCTAATAGGAGTCATGACTATTTCTACACCATTTTTTTATGATCTAGCAATGAGATGATCTATTTTGATAAACATAACCACTTAAGTTGGAAAACTGGATTTACATTCATATCCTTCACTGGCTGTCTTCTGTCCCAGCTTGAGTATCCGTGTCAGCATCTTCACAAAATAGCATTTATACTTTTATATTTAGGGTGAACCAGGGTTAAATGGTCTTAAAGGATTGAAGGGTGAACCAGGTCACAAGGGTGACAGAGGGCCCCTTGGTCTCCCAGTAAGTAAAATACTTCCATTTCAGTGCAGATTACAAACTTCTCGTTCTACTTTCAGCCCAAAACTCTGGTTTACTCAATAGCAAATATAAAGCTATCTCATGCTGAAGTGGTGTCTTTTTTCTTAATTAAGTCTAATCTTGTATCATCCCATAATAAATGGTTTTGTTATTTGTTGCTTTTATATTGTTATTTATTTGTCAGTTGGCAACATTAATTAAAATTGTGACTTTATACCATTAATTATGCCATTATTTAAGTGTTGTGTAATGTTTTGCTTAAATATTAACCATTGTCCACACAAAGATTGTCCATACGCTAACTATAGATTTTTGTTTAAGCAGAGTGGTTGTAATTATAGTACCTATATTTTTAAGAGGCATTTATGGTTAATATCCTAGGTAGCAAGTTTAACAAAGTATTTTTCATTTGCTTGTAGAAGTATATCTTCTGTGATTTGTTGTTTGGAATTGTTCTCCTTTGTGTAGTACTAATTCATTGGTAGTCAGTGAAGTTCATTAAAATCCCTATTTTGCTTTCTGGAACTATAAGATTTCCTAAACACAAACAAAGTAAGTCATATCAGTGCAAACTTCACTGAAATGAAAAACATACAAAAGTAAAATAACTGAGAAAATCTATTCAGAAGGGGCATTCATCCAAAGTCAAGTTCTTTTAAATCCATTGTAGAAATTCAGCAAGAGCTTAACTGTTCTGTTAAAATTAATGGAAATATAATGCATAACTTTGCTTGATCAAGGTGTGAAAATACTCAAGGGCCATCATATACATAAAATCTACCAAATAAAGCTACCTGACATCTTTAATTAATGTTAGTATGTGTGTGACAGCACTGCATTGATCTTGTTCATATAATATCCACAGGGATCATGTAGGTCTCAGCAAAATCAAATTGAGTGTTGCAAATTTGACAGATATTTCATACATGATGGCTAAACTTCTTGAAGTAATTGGTAAAATAGCTCTAATTTTAATATTCTTTCTATACTAATCATGACTACAAGTTACCAGTACTACAAAGCACTGCACTAGCCTATCTAGGAATTTATTACAGATTGTCATTCATTAAAAAAACAGAAATATTTTAAAATATTTTATGGCTTTAAGTCTGTTATCATGAAAGCATATATTTAATTTTTGCTGCACTACTGCTTTCTTAGTGTTTTAGTTATGGTTATAAACATATACTTATATCTTTGTTTTGCTTGAATATCTCTCACTAACTTTTAAATAAAGATATGTTTATTAAAGATCAACAAACACTATAGCAAGTGAACTTTGTAGCACTAATGCATCTAAGGACTAATTCTGATCTCATTAAGCAATTCCACTAGGTAATAAAATTACTGTTATATAGCCTCTAGTAAAATCATAAACTTGTTATGTTATGTATACATTATAACTTATCTAATGCAGTAGTGTGGTACTTATTCTTGTGTAATCTGTGTATAAAAAAGAAGTTGTACTTGTTTATCACCAGAGTTACTAATCTCACGTTCTTGTCATTCGTGTTATCCCTGTCATCTGTGCTTCCGCTTAACATACAGGGAGCATCTGGCTTAGATGGAAAGCCAGGAGCCCGGGTGAGTCCTTCCTGTTCCTATGTCCTTCTTCACTCCCAAATATATATATATGGTTATAGATTGATAACCTTATATATTGATAACATCAAGTTACAATATAATTGTCAAAGTCAGTTTAAAGAAGTCCACCTTTCTCTTTGTCCACTGACATTAATCCAGCCACTTTAGCTTCGTTTAAAGAAAGATGGAAAATTGTTATTTGTTTTAATGTTTAAAACGCCCCCCCCCATTGGTTGGTATTTTCCATATAGTTTCAGCAAAAAAAACTCTAAAATTTATAATACCTGGAATAAGCAGCTTATTCATAAAGTTGGAAGATACTAAATTTACATCTTGAAGCTCTACTGTTATTTAAAACAAATTACTCAGCTTTCCAGGAGAGTGATGGAATAGTTTAGTTGACCATATAAAATCTCCTTTTTCAGCATGTCACCTGTCCCATCTATCTTTGTGAGTCTTTATGTGAATTCAGCATGGGATTTTCTTGTGTTATCTCCCTTTGTTTAATCTTTTAACTCTTCCTAGAAAAAGATCCTCTACATTTTAAATCTTACATAAATCTAAAGAAGCAATAAACATTCAAGAGATAGAAAGAAGCACCTCAGAGCTTTAAGGAATACAAGTGGGATTTTTGAGTCTGCGAAAGCAACCCAGAGATTTGGAATCTCAATAACTAAGCCATCGTTCTAATTCATGTTCTCAATTGTTGACATCAAGCTTGATTCTATATTGATTCATTCAATATAAAGCTTAATTTGGGCATTCCCAACCTTTTTCAGATCATGTTTTATTACTTTTCTAGGGTATGGATGGTCCCATTGGTCCACATGGTCCTGCAGGTCCAAAGGGAGACAGAGTGAGTACATGTCTGAGATGTTCCAATATACCTTAATAATATTGTATATTTGTGTGTTCTGTTCAAATTACTGAAATACGTGGTGGTTGCATTCACAAATGCCTAACTTTACTGAATTTTCTCATACTTTAGGGTTACATAAAGCAATAAACCAATAAAGCACAGGGTTTTCACAACATATTAAGACATGCAAAGATGATTATCATGGTCATGATGATAATGGTTACAAAAATCTACATTCTGCTTAATATTATAATTCTTTCACAAATGCATCTGTTATAGCTTTACCAGAATCTTTTATTCTACTAATCTATTGTGTTTGAGGTACATGCAAAAGCATCAGAGAGTCTTCAGAGATGTTAATAGGAAACTGATTTATTTGCTGCACAATCCAAAGCTGCATTTTTTTTTGTTTCAACAGAGAAAATTGTATTGTTCTTTTAGTACTAAGAACTCCCTTATCAGAAAGAGTAGTAGTACTACTATTACCTCTGAAAGGTGACCACCCAAGGGACTGAACAAAAGTGGTCAACATACGGAGATGGTCAACATATGGAACAACTGAACACATGCCTTATTTTATTGTACAGCTTTTATTAGAAAATATCAGGACATTGTATCATACAAAATCAATACATTTATGTATGTATTGTTTTCTCATGGTTTGATCATTCTTTCTGGGGAAAAAAAGAGTCAATTTTAGTCTGTTTCTCTTTCTTTTTATGAAGGTAAGTGGATAAAGCACTCTGAATGCTGGCTATACCACTCAGCACACCTGGGCATTTTTCCACAGAAAATGACTATCTGCAATTTCTGTGTCCTTCTCATTTAATTCTTTTGCTTCATCAGTTGCGCCCAGCACTTTTTCAGTGGGTTGTACCTCGGTCAATACTGATTGGAAAATTGCTTCTGGGTCAGGGTTAGGGTTTTGCTTCTGCAGATGGTTCATAGGTTAACTTTTTAGCAATAATCCACTGCAGAAGCTGAGTTTGGTAGTGCATTTTGAATGTTTTGATTATGCTTGGTCGAGAAGTTGAATTTTTGATGAAGTATTTGAAGGCAAAAATTTCAGTTCACACTTGTAAAACGATTCACTTGCAGATGGCTAGTACAATTGTCCACTACAATTGTCCAGATACAAGGACTGTATCTTCTCTATTTTTCAGTCAATACCGCTTATCCACTCCTCAAATAGGGCACAAGTCATCTGTGCAGATTTGTTAGATTTCCAGGTGACAGGAAATCTTTGGGCTACAGGTTCTTGAATGAGTGTGGCTTTGCCAATTTACCAATCACCAAAGGTTTTAGCTTCTCTCTGGTTAAGCTAGCACACGCAGAACTGTGAAATATTCTTTAGAAAGTTTTCCACTCTTACATTTGTCACTCCTCATAATGAGGCTCCCATCAGGCATCGCCTTTAAAAAGAGTCTACACTCGTCAGCATTAAAAATGTCGTCATTTTTACTGTCGAATCAAACTCAAAAATATTGTATTCTTTGATATTCTTCTTGAAAGATATTCATTGCTACCAATTCTGCATTTCACTTTTCTTGCCCTTGGTGCAGACTGGACTCAACTGGTCAAGTTATAGAAAGTAAATTAATACCGTGTGTCAAGGTCCAGGTGGCCAAGAGACCACTTACAGAGGTGATCAACTTAGAGAGATTGGCTTTCTATTGTGTACATATAGTGTATGAAAAATCTATGAAAATTAGGTCAATATAGGGAGGTGGTCAATGTAGGGAGGTGGTCAACTATGGAGGTTTTGTATGTTATGAATAATGTAAATACTTGAGGTTTTTATGATATTCATAAAAATCATACAAAAGGTAGCTTTGCCTTTAGAGATGAATAAGGAAGTGAGCATAGATCTATCACTCTCTCTCATTTTGACTTACCTAAGGCTTATTTTTAATAGCAATTTTATTAAAAATTACATCCATAATAACAAACTAATACAAACTAAAAAAAAGAAAAAAATAGGTGCAGAGAAGAAAAATAGAAATAGAAAGGAAAGCAAAAATAAGAATATTGTAAAGAAAAAAGAAAAGAAATATGTAGAGAAATGACTTTCCTTTAATACCACTTTACAAAGCCTTGGTAAGGCCCCACTTGGAATACTGCATCCAGTTTTGCTCACCATGATGTAAAAAAAGATGTTGAAACTCTAGAAAGAATACAGAGAAGAGCAACAAAGATGATCAGGGGACTGGAGGCTAAAACATATAAGAAACGGTTGCTGGAATTGGGCATGACTAGTTTAATGAAGAAAAGAACAAGGGGGGACATGATAGCAATGTTCCAATATCTCAGGGGTTGCCACAAAGAAGAGGGAGTCAAGCTATTTTCCAAAGTGCCTGAAGGCAGGACAAAAAGCAGTGGATGGAAACTAATCAAGGAGAGAACTAAGGAGAAATTTCCTTACAGTTAGAACAATTATAGTGGAATGACCTGCCTCCGGAGGCTGTGAATGCTCCAACACTGGAAGTTTTTAAGAAGAGACTGGACAGCCATTTGTCTGAAATGCCTGAGCAGGGGGTTAGACTAGATGACCTCCAAGGTCCCTTCCAACTAATTACTATTAATAATTTATCTCCTTCTCTTAAATACAACAGATGATTTCTTCTTTCAAAGAAATGCTTAAAGGTCTTGCTGACCTACCAAAGGTTTCTTCTGAAAGCAAACATGGAGCCTTGGTGGAGGGTAGAAATAAGTGAAACATATTGCATAATAAAGTCTCTTTACTATATATGAGCAGCATTGATATTATTATATTTTAGGGTGAAAAAGGAATTGCAGGAGAACCTGGGCCCAGAGGACCGTATGGCTTGCCTGTAAGTTATATGATTTTTTAGAAGTGTAATATTTATAAAATACTTCATTAAAACTTGCTACATTTAATAACTATTCATCACAAAGAAATGCAATTAATTTAAATAGCAAGTCATGGCTCATGAGATCATCACCTTCTTTCAGGTTTAGACAGATTTATCCTCCCAGTGCACTTTGCAAAAATAATAAAGTAGGTTTGACATAAACAAAATAAGAAAAGCCAATATTGAATATCAACTTTTTTATATTGCTCCTGCCATTCTGAAGGTGTCCTTAGACACCAAAGTATAATGGTATGAATTTTTGTCAATAAAATGTTAGATTATTTTTTTAAAAAAACCTTTATCTCTCTCCAAAGGAAAAAGCAATCAGGTCTTAATTATGCAAACCATTTTCTGCTGTTATGTTTTAATTTGCATTTGAAGCAAATTTAATAAGAGTTGTTTTTGTTGTTTTTTTAAATGTTACATAATTATGTTATTGCCTTGTTTCATTAAATGTCTTAGGCAAAGAATTTTTACTCATGAAACATTGATATAAGTAACTGCCTTGAATATTGCAATATATTGGAAGCAATTATTAAACTTTGTTAGCATTCAGGTATTTATAATGTGCAGATATTAAATTTTGTTTGATGTATATTTAATGAGATATTTATATATAGGTACTGCATGTATAAAATGAGGAGACATCTCCATATCCAGTATAATTTTTTGATAAATATTTTGACATAGAAATATTTTTCTATAGGTTTATATGTATAACCTGAATTTGATGTTGTTTATTTGAAAACATTAGAATGTTTGAAAGTAGTTATTTTTGTGGGGATTTTTAAAGATTGAAATATACTTAATTCTTCTTTGCATCATGCATGATATCATTTATTCAAACTGCAAATAAAACTATATGTGCATATGCACACATGAAAGGGAGAAAGACTGCAGAAAAACACACAAAGAATACATAAGCCAAAAATCATTTTAGATGTGATAGTTACAAATTGACATAAATTTATTTAGCTTATATTTTTGATAATTTTTTACAAGTTTTTACAATATTTTTTTACAGATTAATCTGGTTAGACTGTATGAGATTAGAATGAATCACTGTTACCCACTGTTCCATCCAGTGCTTTTTTTGTATTAAAAAAAAAAAAAAAAAAGGTGCTGGAACTCACACATGTCATACCCTACAAGGTTCTATCCAAAAAAGATGCCGGAACTCCGTTCTGGGCGTTCTATGACAAAAAAAGCCCTGGTTCCATCTATCTATCATCTACCATCTATCTATCTATCTATCTGTCTGTCTGTCTGTCTGTCTGTCTGTCTGTCTGTCTGTCTGTCTGTCTATCTATCTATCTATCTATCTATCACATCTTTGAACCACCCATCTCACTAAGATCAATTGCTTTATTTAATATCACAAAATGTTTTGCAAATGGAAGAGCATGAAATAAGTGCATATTCATTGACTTCCCTGTCAAATAAGTGCTGTGTTCATCCAAAAGAACCCCAAACATGGCAGTGATGGTTTCCATATCAGTTACTGAGACTCACTATTTCTTATGGAGGAATTTACTAATCTGAAGAATGCCCATAGTTCCTTGGTAGAACATGCAGCCAGTCAAGGCAAAAAGACTCTTATCTGAAAAACTGAAGAACTGCTGCCAAACATTTTAGCCACTCAGATTACAGATTACGGAAATATCTGTCTCAGGTTTTAAACCACACTCCATTACAATGTCAATGGAGACATCTGTTCTTCTGCTAGCTTGCTTTGTGACTTCATAATAATTTTTCAGCAGTTCAGGTGAATAATCCAATAGAAATGTTTTAGTAAAAATAATTATTAAAAATAATCATAAGGATAATTCCCAACTTTTGAGCATTCTCTATCTTTTCATGTGTTATACAGATAAATATTCATTCCTACTTACTATTGTTTAATTCAGGGAACTCAGAAAATGTCCACCCTAACAGATCCTAAAAGATGGGAAGAGGTGAATAAAAGTGATCATATTCATAATCAGCTCCCTTAATTCATATTATCCTTAAAACTAGACATTTCAGGAAGAGTGCTGCATTAATCTCTGGTGACAAGAAAAATCAGAATCAGATAGCACCTTTTCTGACTAATAAATGTTATTAAGAGGCATAAGTTTTTGCAAGCCCCTTAATAACATTTATTAGTTAGAAAAGCTTCTAGCAGATTCCTAATTTATACAAAACAAGAGATCCTTGATTTGTACTAGAGGTCCTTGATTAGTATTCTCTTAGACGCTTCTGAGCTTTCTTCCAGTGGTTCTATTGCTACTAAAATGACTTGACCAATAGCAGACATGTTCAGAGGCCAATGTTCTTTTTATGTAGTGTGATTGTTACCAGATGCCTTTCAATTCTAAAGAAGTTCCAGTACCTCAAGGATCAATAAGACAGTTTCTATTCAATGACATTTTGCCTCATCCAAACCCACTCTTGCAAAGTACCCTGAGTAATAGTTCTAATATAATAATCAACATACATATGTTGCATTCCCTGACATTTAAATTACTTAATATTAATTGGTCATTAAATATGTTCAGTGCCATGGATTTCCACTCTCTTCCTTTCCTGTGCTCCATCAGAACTGGGAATAAAAGTTTGGAAGATTTTGTTTTCATGTTTTGCTTAACACGTTGTCTAAACTAACGAATAGTTAATTGTGATTTGCTGAATATATCATAACTCACTATTTAATGCTATTTTCCTTCAACAAAAGCATAATTAACAATAACCATAATAACCATAAGTGATACCTAAATATTTGCTCATGTTTAAGAGAGTACTCAATATAAAAAGGGTAAATGCATTGTACAGTATATGATTGTTATTCATTCAGAGAGCTTGTTCTTAAGTCACTTTTGGATTCAACATTGTATTTTGTACACAGCACATATCTGAATAATCCAGGCAAACATTTAACCCCACTCAAGTTTTATAAGAGCCTGAAAGTTTAACAAAACTATTATGGTTATTTAATAGGGCAAAGATGGTGAACCTGGCCTTGATGTAAGTAATAATTGATCACCTATTTGTCTGTGTGGTAGGTAAACATTTGTTTCAAGTAATAGTCGCATGCTTACAGCATGTTGAAGATTATTCCATTTCCTATGCATGACAATCATGCAGAGATTATACTCAACATTGTTCTGTCATTTGTCTTAAAATAATACTAGAGAAAAAATAATACTACCATAAATAGTACCCCTAATGGTTTTGCAGCAACTGATGCTAACTAGAGCACGGATAAATGACCGAGGAATGACAAATGTTCATACAATTCTGTATTGTTATAAGCATAATACTAAGTGCATCAAATCTTACAAATGCAGTCAGTGGTGCTCAAAAATGCAACCACATCAAAACATTACCACAAGGCAACTCCTATTTGCAGCAACAGCTATTCCAAGATTTGGGGTGTTTTAATAATGTTATTATAAACTACACACACACACACACACTAAAAAAAAAAAAAAAGCCTACCACTGCATTCTAAAACAGTGAAAACCTCATGGGAAGTTGTTCCCACAAGGAACTAGTATTTCTAGGTTGCTACAGCATCTTTGATTGCACATGCTGACTGCAATTGAGTTATATCTTATCAGAATTAAATTAGAAGCTGCAGTTAGATGTTCCAGTTTGTGCAAAGTCTTTGGAACAGAAAGAAGTTAATTAGAATGCTATTGCCCATTTGTTTAGTGCCACTAAACCTCTATGAAGCATTTGTCCTTGAACATTGCCAGCACTAATTTGCATGTAGGAAAATGAGAGTAATTTTCTATCAGTTCTTTTTTAGTTTCAAACTACTCGATGCAGAATTTTTGGGAGTGGGGCTGCTGGGATGCATATAATATAGCTCTACAGTAAAAATAAACCCACATATTAATACACAGAAGCCAATAGAGATATTTTTGTTCATTTTTTATAGGGATTCCCTGGTCCACGTGGAGAAAAGGGTGATGTAGGAGAAAAGGGAGAAAAGGTGACCTCAATGCTATTAATTGTTGTTTGATTACTTAGCTTAGTCAGCTGATCTCTCTCCCAGACTTACAATTTGTCCCATTAAACTTGACTTTCTTCCTTCTGTGTGCCAAAAGGCCCTATCACTGCTTTACTAGACAACGTCATTTGTCAGAATGTGAAACCAAGCTTCCGCCCAGATCCAAAAAGATCAGCATTTTCCATAATGAGAGAAGGGTTTTCTCCCTCTAAGACTCCTTGAAGTCTGTGTTTGTTTATACTGTGGTTATTGGCAAGAGACATTGGAGTAGCAATAGGACAGGAGACCCTGGGCCAGAGTGACAGCTTTTGTAAATCGATATACTAGTAGGCTACAGACTTCAATTAAATGTGTGCTGTATTTATACTTTGTAAGCACCTGGCTTTATTGCTGAGAAGATGAAAACTAAGCTAGGAGCACTTTTGATTAATTCCGAGAAAATCACTTGCATCAGATTCCTATTGCAAGTGATAGCTAAACATTTAATTAAAGCACTTAGTCCTATTGAGACAGTTTCAATGTGCTTGTCATTGGATTGCCCTCATGTATAATCACTGAATTTCTACTAGAATATGCAGTGTGGGAGCTCTGAAATATATGCACATATCCAGCCCATGCATGGACCTCACTCTCCAATTCTTTAGGTTTATTTTCACTGTGAGGCACACTATGCACTGATACTGTACATACCCCAACATTTATACATGCAAACGTCTCCTTTTTTAGTTCAATGGGTGGTATTTAAAACATCTCAGCAGTTGAAGGATTTCCAATTTATTCTCCTTAGATTTCTGTGAAAATTCAATTGAGTTTTGATTCTGAAATAGCAAAAATAAGATATGACAGGAATTCACATCAAACTGCTCAAAGCAGAAGTCAAAATTGTTTGTATGCTGGCTGTTTCAGATTGCTAATATACAAAGAAAGAAGCTTGCAGTAGTAGCTATTCCCCACTTATAAAGATGAAAGAATGTCTTTATTATGGTGGGAAATTACACTGCAGTCTATGCCCTTAAAGTGACAGGTTCTCTTAGTCCCAATTCCGATGACCATGCATGATTTTTTGCTGGAGAAAGCCTATATTCCTCCTCACCAGCTAGAACGGAAATCCATGTTATACACCCTACATATATTCAACGTTACGTTGAGCCTTTTCTTCCTCGACTCATCCATTCCCAGTGCTTAGCCATAGAAGATGAAGAATCATATAACTTTGGATGTGATATAAAAAGCATCTGTTCTTTTTCAGTTGTGTAAAAGAGTTAAAAGATGAAATAGAAGTCATTTTGTAGGGTAAACAATATTGTAATATTTAATTGGGGTTGGGAAGAAAATGAAAACCTAGATTGGAAAATATGCTTTGAAATAGCCAGATAAACTTTATGTTGAAACTTTGCATAGGCTTATTCCCTCCTTTAGTTTATTTTCCAAAGTTTTCATGTTTTCCCTGTTGACAATATTGGGGAAATCAATTCTGTGGAACAATTTCTAATTAACAGAATTGAGTGAAAAATAACAGGGTTGCAGCACCACCTTCTGCAATGATGAAGTATAGCATAGAGAGCAGAAATTAGTGAGGGGGAAAAATATTTGATCTCCTGCTGATGTTGTATGTTTGTTCACTGACAAAGAAATGATCAGTCTATAATTTTAATGGTAGGTTTATTTTAACAGTGAAAGACAGAATAATAAAAAAAATCCAGAAAAACGCATTCCAAAAAAGTTATAAATTGATTTTCATTTTAATGAGTAAAATAAGTATTTGATCCCTTCACAAAATATAACTTACTACTTGGTGGCAAAACCCTTATTGGCAATCACAGAGATCAGACATTTCTTGTAGTTGGCCACCAGGTTTGCAAACATCTCAGGAGGGATTTTGTCCCACTCCTCTTTGCAGATCTTCTCCAAGCCATTAAGGTTTTGAGGCTGATGTTGGCAGCTCAAATCTTCAGCTACCTCCACAGATTTTCTATGGGATTAAGGTCTGGAGACTGGCTAGGCCACTCCAGGACCTTAATGTGTTTTTTCATGAGCTACTCTTTGTTTTGGGTCATTGCCATGCTGGAATACCCATCCACAACCCATTTTCTGTGCCCTGGCCGAAGGAAGGAGGTTCTCACCCAAGATTTGACGGTACATGGCCCTTGATGCGGTGTTCTCCTGTCCCTTAGAAAAACACCCCCAAAGCATAATGTTTCCATCTCCATGTTTGATGGTGGGGAGAATGTTTTTGGGATCATAGACAGCTTTCCTCCTCCTCCAAACACAGCAAGTTGAGTTGATGCCAAAGAGCTGGATTTTGGTCTTGTCTGACCACAACACTTTCATCCAGTTCTCCTGTTCATTGGCAAACTTCAGATGGGCCTGTACATGTGCTTGCAGGTGTTGCAGGATTTCAGTCCTTCATGGCGTAGTGAATTATCAATTGTTTTCTTGGTGATTATGATCCCAGCTGCCTTGAGATCATTAACAAGATCCTCCCGTGTAGTTCTGGGCTGATTCCTCGCTGTTCTCATGATCATTGAAACTCCATGAGGTGAGATCTTTCATGGAGCCCCAGACCAAGGGAGATTGACAGTTATTTTGTGTTTCTTCCATTTGTGAATAATCACACCAACTGTTGTCACCTTCTAGCCAAGCTGCTTGGTGATAGTCTTATAGTCCATTCCAGCCTGGTGTTGGTCTACAATCTTGTCCCTGACATCCTTGGACTGTTGTTTGGTCTTAGCCATTGGTGGAGAGTTTGGAATCTGATTGATTGATTGATTGCTTCTGTGGACAGATGTCTTTTATACAGGTAACAAGATGAGATTAGGAGCACTCCCTTTGAGAGAATGCTCCTAATCTCATTCATTACTTGTATACAAGATACTTGAGAGCCAGAAATCTTGCTGATGGACAGGGGATCAAATACTTATTTCATTCATTAAAATGCAAATCAATTTATAACTTTTTTTGAAATGTGTTTTTCTGGATTTTTTGTTGTTGTTATTCTGTTTCTCACTGTTAAACCTACCATAAAATTATAAACTGATCATTCTTTGTCAGTGACAAAGATACAAAATCAGAGGGGATCAATAATTTTTTCTCTCACTATATGTCTGAGTGGAAAAACTAAACTGCCACCTTCAGCACTAGTCTCTGTCACTTTCTAGAAACTATTTGGTCCAACCTTAGCTTGGCAATGTACCTGTTCAATTTTTTAAAATTGTGTTTGCCAAACTGGTTTAGGATAAAGCAGAGTAAAGTATTTCCAAAGTGTAGCATTTTTAGGAATAAAAAGAGTACAACATGGATGTTCAGGGAGGTTGAGAGAGTTTTCAGTGCAGTAAATTTTAATAATAGTGGTACCTTCCACTAGATTAGACATTAAACCCCAGTCTGTTGTGTGCCTCCTACTGGTGTGGTTAATTATCGATTCTGTGTATTGTGCAAATATCAAGGTAATTTAGGCAGCCAGAATTTTAACTTAAATGTCAGTAAGCATATTATGTGATCATAACCTCAGAGCCACTTGGTTCAGAGAAAATTGGAAGATCTCCAAAAATCAGCTTGAGAAAATAAGATGGAGCCCATAGATTAACAAAATATAGCTTTGAAAACTAAACTATATGCTTACATGTTTAAACAAGAGCTGTTTCAGTTTAGAGAACTAGGATATCAATCCTGAAAGAATAGTATTGCATCATAGTAGACAATATCATTGACTGATGTTTGCTTTTCCCAGTCACCATTTATTTGCTGGCTGAGCTAATTATAAAAGAAGGTCGGACTGGTTCAGTCAGGTAAAAATTTGTCTTATGGAGTCAACTGTACCAAAGTGCAAGATGAAATTGCTTTTAAAGCTAAATAATTACTCCTAGATATTCTAGATGTAAACAGGGAACTAATATTTAGACTAAATTTTGCTCTTAAAATTTATTAATATGGTTATTTAGTATACTATTTAAAACTCATAAATATTAAGACTAATTCTAAATCTTGTATCAATAAAAATGTTCCACATAATTATTCTCTGTCAAATTTGAAAAGTATGGGAAGCCATAGTTTTGCATAAGCAAGATTAAAAGGTCCAATTTATTTTCCATTTATTGTCCTCTCAAGTTACTCTAATCCATTTTTGTTGGCCTTCTGATTCATGGTTTGATCAGAATATACAGTCAGGGTTTGTTTATTTTCCTTTTCTAAAAACTTCTTTTGTTTCTATGTACTGTAACATCTTTATTATTTACTCATACCTCCCTTCCAGCTCAAAGTGGCATACTAAGCACTCCATCTTATTTTTCAGAGTTAGCACGTTTGTAACTCATATTTGGAGAATATGAGTTACAAACTCATATTTTTAATGTGAGAACTTAAATTACCAATAACGTCTGTCAATAAATTACCAATAAAGTCTGCCAGGTTGATCTAACCTAAATGGAAGTGAAGTGTTTCACAGTTAATTCCTTTGACTCATAGTTTCTAGGTTATATCTGCAATTGTTCAATTACTACTAGGAGCTTCCCTCACCATTTTTAAAGTTCATCATATTTTGGCCTACTGCTGAAACTGATGAATAAATATTTGTTGTAGGATATAATACAGTATATCTCTCCATGAAACTGTGTTTGACGCTCATTAAATGTTTCGTCTTATGCCATAGTACCTTGTGCATTTTGTGCAATTTCACTTTTTAAATATATGTTAGCACAATAATTGGCTATGTTAATTTAAAGTGAGGTTCTAATTTTGGAGGGAGGATTCATTGAGAGACTGTAAGAATGCACTGCTTTAGGCAATGAAATATTAAATATTACAACATTACAAAGCAACTATTCTAAATATTTATTTTCTGCTGTAAATGGATGCATATTTTTGATGTGAAAATGAGTGACTGTCTATTCCTTATATGCCACTCTAATCTTTTCTGCCTTTCCAGAGGTGCATTTCTCCCTTCTCTTACCTTTTTTCCTTAAAATTCATCTGGTCTTTTTTTATCCTTTTCCTTGCAAATTAAATCCTTCCTGCAGCTTAGACCTTGATAATCATTCCTTAGTTCTACTAACTGTCTTTCTGTTGTATCTCCATTACAGTAATATTCTTAATTTGTGTCTATCTGTGTATTTAAATAGAGTCACTTTTGGTTTTGTTAAGGACTGTGAGCCTGAAACTCATTTGCCATTGTAACAGATCAGATGTGAAAATAATTCTAAATTAGTTCTCAAACGTGTCTTCCATTGCCTTCTGATAAAGTTATTTTTCTTAGGTAGCTGTTCTTATGTCTAAGTATCTGTTTACAGAAAGCTCTTAAGTCTCAATTTAAATATTGCATGTTTTTTTTTTGAAATAATGTTTATTTTCAGACAAAAATGTTTCTAATTTAGGCACATGAATATTTTAATCCAGGAATAAGGCCAATAGAATATAGAGCTCTAATTTGGAAACACATCGGAATACTTTAGATTGAGACTCATGGGGGTTCAGAATCCTTTTGCAGTTTTGGACAAGGAATTTTAACTTTATCACTTAACTTTCTTGATTGGCTTTCCCGACTTAATGCCTTTCAAATGTGTTAAACAGGACTTTATCTTCTATTATGATTCTGTTTGGGGAAAGCTGATCCCTAATATATGCCCTTTAATTGTTCTAAACAGTGCATCCAGTTTAGAACACTGAGATGTAACATTTTTGTAACATCATTGGGGATTTCTTCTGAGAAAGAAACCCTATCACCAGATTGGAAAAAGGTGATCTAGCTCTAAAACTGATGTCTTCAATGTATATTGAGATTATTCTGAACTGGGATTGTGTCCACATAGATAGAGGTAGAGTTTCTGTAAGGATGAGCAGCTTGATATGTGCAAAGAATTTTCTCTTCCATTGGAAAAAAGAGGAAGTCCTCATGGACAGGGTCTTACTATCTAATGTCAGTGAGTGCAAATGCATATAATAAGTAGAAAGTTCTTCCCCATAAGATGTAAATCTATCTGAGGAAAACAGTTATTTTCTTGCAGAAAATAAAGGCCAGGAAAGCAGACCCAACACAACCGTTAGGAAAAGAGGCAAATCTCCCTTGTTTTTAAATGGCAAGTTTTTGATGACCCCTTAGGATGAAAAAAAATCAATCTAATTCACAATTACAAGTCCTGCTTTAGAATTCAAAGTGCCCATCATTATTGCATTAACGCAGAAGAGCAATATAACCAAACTGATGCAGTTAATGCTTCTGATCATCATATAACTTATTTTTTTACCTAATGCATCCTGCAAACTAGAACACAGTGGTAAGTGTCCTTTCAACCCTCCATTGGCTATTAAACAAAAACTTTTAAAACAGATTTCTTTGATTCCCTGAAAAAGAATAAAATGTGTTTTATCCAAACCATTGTGTTCACAGGGGGAAAAGGGAAAGAAAGGCAAAAAGGGGCCTAAAGGGGAGAAAGGAGAACAGGGTGCCCCTGGATTAGATGCACCTTGTCCATTGGTATGTTTCACTCATCTCTTGGAAATGTCTCCTCTTACAGTAGATAATATAACAAATTGTCACACTGCAGAGAGAAGCAAGCTACAGTTTGAGCAAAGTTGTTATTCATTTAAAGTCATAATGCACTTTAAACATAATCATGATTTGACCTATTTCCATGTAAAATATTCTTTAAAATTGTTACTAATGGAAGAGTCTTCCATAATTTGTGGCGCAGTGGCTCATGTGCAAACTCATATTTGCCATATAGATCATGTATTCAGCTACAAATCTAAGAATATAAGCACCCACATTTTACTGTGGTCCTCTTCCGGTCAGCTTGCTCCTCTTTTTTCTATTTGCTTGTTCCAGCAAAGTTGATGTAAAAGACATTTCTTAGTAACGTTGCAAGTTAATCTTTACAAACAGGGATTCCGTGGAATTAAGGGGGAAAAAGGGGAGCCAGGCCAACCTGGTCTGGATGGGCTGGATGCCCCTTGCCAATTGGTACAGTATTGCTCTTTCCTTCCAACCCTGCATGTGATTCCTACATTTCTAATCAGCTGTTTCCAATGTAAAGTTCACATAACCAGACTTTGCATTGTATGTCCCCATACATGCATGTGCATGATCAAAGTGGCCTGCCTTGGTGATGATAACAGTATCCAGAGATCACTCCACCTCTCAACATCAGCAGTATAATATTGGCAAGTCATACTTACATTGCACAATGGTTCTGAAGTTATTTTACTCCAACATCTTCAGTCAAGTGCAATTTTCTACTTAAGATTGTTGTCTTTCTTCTCCTCCTTCCCATCGCCAATAAAACATGTTCTGCCATATTTAATATTAATGAAATTGCCCTCTTTGTTGATACAGAGTGGTTCCACAATATCCCATGACTAAACTACTGATATCATATATCTTGTTAATACTTGCCCAGCCCCTAAGTGTGAATTCCATCTGACCTCACTCATAAATGGGTTTTATGATTTTGAATCAATTATATTTACATGTTCTTTATTTTTTAAAAATGGCACTGGAGTAATAAAGTATATGCTTCTAATAGAAGAGAACCTCAGGTTTAAACTATGGAGCCTTTGTGCTCCCTGAGTTTGGTTGTTTGCTTGCAGACATTTCATTATCCAACTAGGTAACATCACTGTACTAGTAAGTGTCAGGTTTGTGCTCAACTCCCACCAACAGTGAGAGGATAAGCTGTTAGATATAAACCGGGAGGAAACCATACACTTACTATCACTGATTATGTAATAAAATGTGTGCAGGCAAACAACCAAGCTCACAACCCACCAAGGACTCTAAAGTATATATGCCTAAGAAAAGAAGAGAAAATCTCATTCAAAGCACATAAGTATATAACCAGTGATACTTTTCTAGGTATGGCTTCCCTGGGAATACATATCTCTCAAACAAGTAATCTATCCTACATGTCTATTCCTATTAACTTTTTGCAGGGAGGGCATGAACAGTCAACCTAGGCAAGGAAATCTTAATGTCCACACAAGTCCTTTTGACAACCTCTGGGGTTTCTGTTTGTGATATTCTATGTATTTGCTTTGACTATCATCTGTTCTTATTAAGCAAATGAGGAAATTGAAAACTTGATTTGCTGTTTGCTTTTGGGCAAGTGTACAGAAGGAAGCTAAAAAAAAAGGGAGTGAACAAGTGGAAAGTATGACCTGGAGCTAGCATTATCTCCATGCTTGACCTTCTGCTTATCCTAATAGATACCGGTAGATGACAGGGAGACAGACCCACTGTGTGCTTAAGGATGAATACAAACAGTTCAAAAGGTGCAGAATTTACCTACAGTAATGGAGGGGAATGATATAATGCATTACAATAGGCAGTTTAACTGGAATGCTCAGTTTAGCTTTTGTTCTGCAATTTCTGGATTAGATTCATATTTAGTTATGGGACATACCAACTGAGATTGGTAGTTTACCCTCAGTTTAACAAAGGATACATTGAGCCCAAGATTATTAAAATTAGGTATAAATATTCTTATATAGAATTACATAGCCATGTTATATTGACAGGAAATATTCTTGAATATTTCTGTCTGCTATTCACATGATCACATCTCTTACAAATTGCAACGTTATATTCACTTCAAAATAAGCTTTATAAATCCTTCATAAGGAATTAATGGCCTGCAGCCCAAAGCACTTATTGTCTGTTTCTTAAATGTTTTCAGCATAACAGTCTTTCCTTTGGATCTTAATTTCCCACAATACATACAACAGTTCCCTACTCTTTGTTAGCATGAATTCAAGCACCTACCTATACTAAAATTCTACTTGTTGATCCCTTTCCCTTGTACCAATCTGGCAAACATTTCAATATTATGAAAATATGTTTTCTTTTTAAAAAAATCATCATTATCTACACATTTCTAGAAAATGCCAAAAACATTTTAAAGGGTAGATATATTTGATCTGCATGTTTTGATACTGTATGTAGTTTAAGCATGAATGGAAAAGTTAAGCTGATTTTTTTAAGCACATCTGTAATCTAAATTGTCAGGAAAGTCTTTAAGTAAAAAGTCCATATTTTATTTTGTTTGTCATTGTTTAACAATAACTTATTGTTATATATTTGATTGCAAATAAATAAAGCATGCCTTCATAATTCTTTGAAGTATATTTGACTGAGTACAGTATTGTTTCTGTCTGGAAATCAGTTAAAACTATCTGCTAAGGCACTCCTTAGCAACTTTTTGCTTAGCTCTTTTTGATGTTTATTGCAGTTGTTTTTTTCTCTTCTACTCAGCCATGTGCAGTTTTTGGAGATCGCCTGGTCAAGTTCCTTCAGTATTCGTGCAAAGGTTTTTCAGAAGTGGTTTACCATTGCCTCCTTATTAGGCCTGAGAGAAAGTAACTAGCCTAAGGTCATACAGCTTATTCTGTGCCTAAAGCAGCACTAGAACTCACACTCTCCTAGTTTCTATCCTGATGCCATACTCACTACCTCAAACTTTCTTTATTTAAATTATCAAGTTATAAACTAAGGAGGGGAAATTATCCTAACATTCAAGTAAATGTTATACAACTGTCTAGATTAGGGGTAGGCAACCTTGGCTCTTTTATGACTTGTGGACTTCAACTCCCAGAATTCCTGAGCCAGGGCTGGCTCAGGAATTCTGGGAGTTGAAGTCCATGAATCATAAAAGTGCCAAGGTTGCCTACCCCGGGTCTATACTTTGCCAATATGTTTTATTGGGTTTTTCTTATAATTTGCAAACAAATACTATAACAAAAAGCTTCTCCATATATTCAAGTAGTGTTTTTATGTACATACAATCCCACAATCATTAATTATCAATATCAATAATTATCATTATCAAATCCAAATTCTTAGATTTAATAGTACCTGATAACATACTACAGTATCTTATAATTGGAATAACATTTGATCTATCATCCTCCAGAACAAAGATATCCTTCAGAACAATGATATGCCATTGTTTGCAATATTGCATAGATACACTATGTTGACTCTGATATAATTGGTATAAAGTTAATTGGAATGAAGTCTCCCTATTTAAAATCAAAACATAGTTAAGACAATAGAACTAAACTTATTTGAACAAAATTTCTGAGTTTAGTCAAAGATAGACACCATGGATTTAATTGATAGTAATTTAAAATTAAGTTACTCTCATTAAAAAATATCCAGTTTTCAAGCAACAAAGAGACAAAGTAGTCCACAGGCCCCATCTTACATACTAGCTGAAGGAGGCTTTGTAGGTTAAGTTTCCAAGTAGGAAATGGAGGATTTTTAGCATTCATAAGAACCTAAACATTTACTTTATAAATGTAAATCCAATCATGCTAGCCAGATGCAATAGTCCAATGCTTCCATATTAGCTTAATAATGTCTACCAATATCAGTTATGGACATTAACTTGCCATAATTTCTGAGAAGTTATATTTATTTGTTTTTTCTTCATATACTTTTAATTTCAAACATTGCATATTGAAAATATGCCATTAAGTTTGAGTTTAGCTAAACTATATTATTTTGGGAGAGTAATTCCAGTGCATTCCAGACAAAAACAATGCTTGCTCATGGAAGGTTGTTTTGGTTATTTTATATTTTTCCAAGTCTATCTAATTTTCTTGAGGAGGACTAACTAATCCTGCTCAAAACCAGGAGATCTATAACATGATTGGGATTTTAACTCTCATCCATTATCACTGATATATATAGATCAAAGTCATAAATACATTTGCATGGAATAAGGCATTTATTAATGTATGGTGTTCCTCTGAATTGACTTCAGCTAGTTGTACAATAGTATGGTTGCAGTTAATTGTTCTTCTGCAAGCATGGAGAACATATGATTATATACATAAGAATTTCAAAAATTGCCATGCACTACATATATTATATTATTTGAATTTTGTTCATTTTCCTAAAGTACAATTGAGGCATGAAATGATGTTAACATTGGTGAGGTGTATTATCAAACTTAACAGTATACTTTGATTTTCCTTATTCAAACAGGGGCCAGATGGGTTACCAATGCCTGGTTGCTGGCAAAAGGTGAGATCACTCAAATATTCTTATGCTTACTTTTTAATCGCACAATATTATATACTATTAAGCATCAGTAAGCTAAATGACATCTGTTAACCCAAAGAAATAACATGAACAAATGAAGAAAAAAGCATTGCTGGTATCCCTTTACTAACCAGTTGTCAGTACTGCTGCAGAAGGAAAGAAAAAACTCTTCCCTCCTTTAACTCCTATAAGCTGAGAAAACTTTACTCTGAGGGAAGAATTCCGTTTATATATGTCTTTATACAGCTTAGTATTATTTATACAGTTGAAACATGCCTTTGAACAACACTACTAATATTGCTAAAATGTTTTTCTTTGTTTCTTTGCAGTGATGAATCTAACTTTGCAAGCATGAAGTTGTGTATATAATACATCACCTCCTGTATTTATAATTGAAAATGGAAGCATTGGTTTTACAAGTTTGAAATATGTTTACATAGCACTGCTTCTATTTATTTGTAGTAGTCATGTGTACATATGGCTGCAATCTGGCAAATATAAACTGTGCAATAAATGTACAGAATCCAAATATTGTGTCTATAGAGCTAATCCCAATAGAGTGATCATTCATAGACATTTAAATTGTTTTTTTACATATTTTTACATTACTTTTATTTTTGGTTGCATTCTTGTTTTATTTGGCTTGTGGACAAGCATGGAGAAGAAATGCCCTGAATTAGGTTACATTAGTTTGTGACCACATATGAACTCAATAACAGATTGTCACTGGAATATAATGACTCTGTTGCCATATTCACCCTCCTAAACTCTATCATTGCTCTATTTCCCCAAATTTGCTTGAGCAAAAGCATGATTTTTGTGCTAAAACAGCTTGTTGTGTTACAATGGTGGTTTGCTGTCATATGCTACAATGGTTGCTTGCTGCCAATTTCACTTGACACATTAAATTGTTCTTTCTATCATCTCAAGGGAGTCACACCATGGCTTATTGCAAAAAAATGATACGAGGAGATTAAGACAAAGCTCTTGAATTTGGAGGGAACTTTGGTTCCTTCTGATGGTGGATGGCTTTCAGTCTTCTGGGTGAAACCATCTTTGTGAAAAAGAAGAAGGATGATATCTCTTCATCAGCCTCTGTTTGCTTGCATTGCTCACAGTCAAGAAGCATGGATTTCAACACATGTTGGATTATTTTACCAAGAATGAAAGAAGATGAAGATCATGCTTTATGAGTAAGATGATTGAGTTGCAGAGACATCAAATGGATCAATGATAGGTCTTAGTATCAACTGGTGGACAATGTAATCTTCAAAGACTGCTACAATATGTGTTTCACATGTTGTATTTTCAAGGTGATAAGAAGAAGTGCTTTGACAAAAGTCACTATAAAATGCCTTCTTCTAAAATAATGAAATGCAGTTGACTTTTCATGGTTTACCATTTGGATTTTAGAAATTCCTGGTCAATGGCATATGCGTGTACGGGCTTGAAGAATATATTTAATTATAATTGATCAATGGTTAAATGTACTAACCTCCTTTGCTTTCATGCTTATAGACATTCAGGTTTTGAAGAACATATTTGTGTTTCATTTTTTTAGCATTTTTTTAGCTTCTCCAAAAGTAAAAGATTTTTGTTGACCTATTCATTTTTTAAAAATTATTTCACGTCATGACCCAAATAAAATGGAATTGATAGGAGCTACAGTATAGGCTACCTTGTATATCAAATATATTGCTATTTTCATCTTATTCTTTTTTAAAAAAATATTTCATTTCTATGTTTTGAACCCTTCTATTTAATATTTTTATATTTAAGCTTATATTCAAATGTATGCTTGTAGACATTCTAAGAAGCTAATTAATATTGCTAATTAATTTGCTGGGCAGTGGAAAATATGGTCATTACATTTGATGAATGTTCTGCAATGTTTTAAAGGTCTGACCAAATAAGAAATTCCATACACTTTCAAAAAAGTCAGTGGGATATTTTAAAATTAGATTAATAAACATCCATTGTTGCAAAATGTCATTTTTATCAGATTGTAAATGGAATTATATTTATCACCATACCAAATATTAGTTAAATTTCAGTACTACTTTATACCCTTTAGTATACCTCTTACTTCCTTTTTCAATTTAATTATTTTGTTTACAGACCATTTGTGCACCACCCAGAATCCACTGGAGATGGGTGACCAATAAATTTAAATAATAATAATAATAATTAATAAAACAATATTGATAAAATTTCCTATTGCTTTTTGGGGAACATGATCTTTTTCTCAATATTGAAGCTTTCATGTTAACATTTTAGCAAGTTTTTCAGTGTTTCAGTGATAACCACTCAATAGCAGAGGAGAATAATTTAGTGCTCAGGAAATTCAGAGAAATGAATGCCTGCTTTTACTAAATATTTTCTTATAGTTTTCTTATATTTTTATTAAAATTTGACCTATCTGCATGAAAAGGTAGAATTAAAATTTTTGAAATGCAAAAACTAAGAGAAATTAGTCTGTGTATGCATGTATAATTATGTACACATACATATATACACATATTTTAATATATATTAACAGATATTTTCTCCCGTGTAATTCAGATATTTGTTTGTAAGACAGAAATCCTTTTCTCTTTTTGCATAGAATATTTCCCTCCTCAAAATCTCCCTAAGAGTCCTCCAATTATCCAGGAAAAAGGAGGAAGTCTGTGAAGCTAGTGGTAGTGAGAGAAACAATTTTATCCATTTTTATTTTTAGTTGATGGATAATCTTGAATTCCATCCATAGGCTTCCTGTATATTAATCTTTGTCAGACATGTAAGATGAGGACCATACATGAAGTTCCAATTAAACTGATTTATTACTACTCATTCCTATTGCACAGGAATCTATTCAATTAATGGTTAGCACTATTTTGGCATTAGATAAGAGTCAACAGAATTCAAGAGGGATTGGACTTTGTGACTACTAGAAACTATAGGCTGATTCTTCTTTTGAATCTGCTTCCTGCTTCTGCCATTCCTTTTCCTATGATCTTTTATGCATTTCTCTGTAATGTAAATTATTTATTATTCTATCCTCTCAAATCCTAATCATTTAATTTTAGATCTGGTCAGACATTATTCATATGTAAGCATAATGCCTGAACACTGGGCATTAGATTGTTTATGAGAATCATTACAACCTGAATGGCCCCTTAAAAAATAAATTTATGTGTTCAGATGTGCCATTTACAAAGTATTTTTAAAAATTATTTTTCCTCCATTTCATAAGAATCTACATATAAAATTAAATACCTGGGACTAGGAGTGTTCCTTATAGTCTTATTAAACGTTACCTTTCTTTTTATGTTTGTAAAGCTAGTAATACTAGCTATCTATGAATACAAGTTGAGAAAGCAGAATAGTTGGGCTGCATGGAAATATCAAAAATGTGGATTTACCCTATAACTGGTAAGCATGCTAATAAAAAATAAAAAATGGCTGTTGAGACCCTTCACAAATTAGGCCTATGACATGATTTGTTTGCTAATTTATTTTTCAATTTACATTTAAAAGAGTTAATGATAGGATATCAATCACTAATTTTAAAGTGAAATTATACACTTATAAATGCTTATCAATCTGTGTGCAGGTTGATGGAAAAGAAATTCTGTCTGTGCAGAAATTAACAATATTTGAACTGAGAATATGAGCATATAGCCATAAATTAACAGAAGCAGCAATTTTTCTTATAATAGCTGTAATTTTCCAGCTACAGCAATCATTGGAAATGTTTGCTGATTTATTTTATATTTTTTAAAAAAAAACCACTTGCTGTTTCAGGCTATTCATTGATTAATTCTGATTTATATTGTTAAAAATAAGTTCATTATATTGATATCATTGTGATAAATCTACATGATAATTTGATTAGTTGGATTTTGAAGAGCAGTAAAGGGAGATATCAAACTGGTGCCTGAAATGATTCCTAAAAATGCCTGTTAAAAACAAAAATGTGCTTAGTCTGGCTATGTAGTTGTTTTCTGAAGACTTGTAGTGCCTTTATGTTGATATTTAATAATTAGTTTGGTGCTAAAATGTTTTCTATTTTTCTTGCAAAGCTCCTCCAAATTAGTCATTTATGCTAATATATTACAGTTTAAATTGCATTTTTTTCTTTTATTTTTAAACATGCCCATTTTTATCGTACAATGGTAAAGGTTTTTCGTTACCTATTTTTGTTTTTATTTCCAATTTCTAATTTTCTTAATTACTTTATCTTTGGAAGTTTTCTCTCTCGCCAATATTTATCGGGTACTGTTTTTAATAGGTACAAAGAAATAACATATTTTTGATGAATCTTTCTGAAATTCCATAAGGTATTTCATTTCATGTCCACAAAGCAAAGTATCATATGTAGAAGATGTAGTAGTAGGGATAAAGTGTCAACTATAGTTCATACTATCTAATGTTTAAATATTTCCTTTCCTGATTTTATCTCATTGCTAGTTTAGAAAAACAGACTAATATATTGCTCTCCACTATATAAATAAAAAGCATAGCAATATCAATATCACTTATCTAGTGCAGAGGTCCCCAACCTTTTGGGCACCAGGGACTGGTTCCGTGGAGAAAAGTTTTTCCACTGACCAGAGAGTGGGTGAGTTTGAGTTCTGCCTGCATCCCACGGATGGGGCTTTGCTTGTTTGTGCAGACCGGTTTGGTCCACAAACCAGGGGTTGGGGGGCCCTGATCTAGTATACCAAAATCTCTCCCAGCAACTTGTTTAATGTATTCAGTTAAATAGCAGGATAAGAAGAAAACTATATGTATAGTAGTGGACTTGCAGAAATATTCTCTTGTGATGAGGTTAATCACCTCAAGGATACTTGGCCTATGCTCTGAAGTGATAGCATGTACTCTGTTCTTTACTATTTATAAACTATTAAAAAGAGAAGCACTGAAAAAGGTAACTATTCCTGTTTACCTTTACATGTGTCATTAAAACTTGAATAATGTCCTCCCCAGACAGTATTAAGTACAATCCTGAAAATCTGTTTGAATGCCTCACTTTTGCTGAAATAAAAAGTGCCAAAATATTAAGACACTTTAAGAAATAGGCCAGAGACAATCCAGGAATCAAGTTGGACATCCCTGATGGCCATTTGCAATGCCTGGATGGAAGCCTTGTTTTTATAGGGTATTGTTAGCCATAAGAATATGTTATTTGATTTGTTTGTATAATAGAACTGTTTTGTATCATAATTTTAAGTGGAAATGGAATAACAGACATCTTCAGAAATATAAAGTTAAGATTAGACATTTTGTTTGCAAGCCTCCTAATTATCATTATTATTTTATTATGTGATTTTAGCTGCACATCTGTATCCTTTGTCTATTAATGATTTATAATTTTCACACAATAAGGTATACTATACCTTAGGAAAAATATATTATGAGAAGTTAGCAGGCTCTTTATTCTGGAATTTCAGCTATTTATATTGCTATTAAATGCTGAAGTTTTTTTTTCCTTATCCTTTTTTTCCCCTATATGGCAATGTAGCAAAAAACCCATCAAAACCTTTTGAATTGTGGTGGGTTAAAACAACAACCACAGCTAGTAACTAAATGATTCATTCATATTGATTTGAATGGTAAAGTACTAACTAAATTTGAAATGGTTTTCTCAGTCTATCCAAAGGTGGCTAGATATAGAAAAATGTTTTCTCAGTACAGCTCTCTGAACATAAGACAAAACAATTAACAATGGAAAAGGACAGAAAAATATTCTTTAAAAAATTACTATTTGAAAGGCACCTTTCTTTTTCTTTAGAGAACAGGGGCCTTATTCAGTCTTACTTTATATGTTTAAATTAAAATTTAGTAGTTTCCACAGTTGTATTTAATACTGGTGATATTTTAAAAGCATTTCATTTGCGGGTAAATATATGTTTTTTTACATATTCTTTACGTTGTCTGAGCTTGTCCTGGGTGACTATCTTGAACAAGTGAAATGGAACAAATGAGAATTTTCTCTAATGTTCATACATGTTGGGCTTGTTCATTGTGGATATTATGCCATTGTACATGTTGGGAAACTATAATAATTTACAACCTGTTTTTAAAGGTGTATGTATCTGGTTTGGGGTTGGGTTGTTGTTTTTGTTTATTTGTCTGCTTCTTTTGGAAAATATTGTATTTTATTTGATTTTTTTTTTACTTTTTTATAATGTATCTGTATGTGCAGGTATTTCCATATTTCATCATGATATCTGTTAAAAGCAGAAATCTGTCATTTGCGGAAAATTATTCCTGCTTGGAAGAAATCATTAATAATGTAAGCCATTTTCATATCACATTCTAGGTATAAATATCATGGTAAAAACAATATGTCTATGTAAATAGTTGCAAGATTTAAGCCACCATTTTTATTTGATATTAATTTCTATATTGTTGTAGCCTCTTGTTAAGAATTAAAGCAAGAATGAGCTTTATCAAATAGGATGAATCATTTTCTTTAAAAAAAAATTGGGTTCTTTTTATGCTTATAAATGTTTTAATTGCTCCTGTTTTAGTTTTGTATTTGGTTTTTGTCCCAACTTTGTGAGAAGTTGAACTTCAGAATTATTTTTACACTATTTATGACTTATTTTCATAATGTAAAAAGTGTGTAATTATTAAACTCTTGATCTTAATCTGAGATTGGTTTTCCATGTTGTAAACATTATTTGCTTGCCTTTGGTGTAAAAATATGCAATACTTAAAAAAAAGAGTTTTCCTAAACTATATTTCCTGTGAAATGTATTAATCTGAAAAGTTTTTGACTTAAAACCAGTTATGTTTCAAAATTCTCTTGCACAGAACTTACTGTTTTGCCACTTTCGGTATGAAATGTAAAGAATTATTTGCTCTGGATAACAAAGACATAATTCATATAATGTTGGATGATTTTATAAAAGGGCAAATTCACAATGCTTTTAATCACTCCATTGTGAGATAATCTCAGGAGAAATAATGACTAAAAGAATGTACTACAAAGTCACAATAGAATTGGCTTTGATCTAACAGTTGGAGAACAATCCATGCCTATTCCAAAAAAGTCTTAGCAGCCAGGCAGATGCCAAATGTACTTCTGATGTATAAATAGCTTCTTCTTACTCCAGAAAATATTAGTTCATACATTACTGAGGCATTGTAAAAGTTATAAAAAATAGCACTGTCCTCTTCTCATCAAAATAAAAATCACAGTTCTGACATTTTACAAGGTAATAGGAAATACTATTTTTAAATACATCCGGTGTTCAATATACAGCTCAATATTTGCTTAATAATTTTACACAATAAAGTTCTTTATTTTCCACAATCAGGACAAATTAGCAATTCATAGCATTTCACATAAAGTCTTTGGGAAACTAATGGCTACCTAAAGTAAAGTAGTCCGTGAAAGTATGATTAAATCCTGCTTTTTTTTTTTTTTTGCTTTCTTTGACACACATGAAAAGTAAAAACGATGATTCAAAATGATGATGTCTGTTCCAATTTATCCATATCCTGTAACTGAAATGTGTCTTGAGGAAATAGTATTTCGTTATCTGACAGTCTCTTTTCTACGCAGGAATATTATGCTACTTTGCCTCATAAACAAGAATTCCTCAAGAATAAAATGTTTTTAAATATTGACAGTTAATACTTGCCATAATTTAGATCCAGTCCTTTTAAGTGTCTTGCCTGCCTATCCTGACTTACAGTTGGCAGGATTTGGATTGAAATTTCATTTTCTGTTTCATTTAAAGAGATGAAAACATTTAATATTTCATAAAATGATCCATACGTTTTAGATAAACTAATGGGAGCAGAGAACCTGGAATCCACAAATCTGTTAGTCCTATCCTAATCCAAATACAACCTTGAATAAATATAGAAAAGTGAACCACCCATGCCCCCTTCAGGATGCATAGATTGTCTCATAATGCACATATTCTGGATGTTACACAAAGTGCACATATTGATGCATAAATGCTGAAGTAATATGCAGAGGAAAACAATAAAAAGTCAGTTTATACAGCTTTACGGAATAGAATATTCCAGTTATTTCTGGATATTAGGACTTTATTTTGAGTAGCGTTTTCATTATATTGTCTTGGGTTAGTGAATGACGGGGGAGGGGCATGGAGAAAAGGAGAGAGAGAGAGAATGAAAATATGCAATCTTATGCTACTTCATTACAGGTAGTCCTCAATTTATGACCACAATTGAACCCAAAATTTCTGTTGCTAAGTGGGATATTTGTTAAGTGAGTTTTGCTCCATGTTATGACCTTTCTTGCCACAATTGTTAAGTGAATCACTGCAGTTGTTAAGTTACAGTAGCTGTAGTTGTTAAATGGATCTGGGTTCCCCATTGACTTGGCTTGTCAGAAGGTCACCAAAGGTGACATGACCTTGGGACACTGCAACCATCATAAATATGAGTCAGTTGCCAAGTATCTGAATTTTGATCACATGACCGTGAGGATGCTGCAATGGTTTTGTGAAAAACAGTCATAAATCACTTTTTTCAGTGCCATTGTAACTTTGATTGGTCATTAAACAAACTTTGGTAAGTCAAAGACTACCTGTATATAACACAAAGCAGAAATGTAGAGGTCATGCCTGCTCTTCACATACAGAAAGGCCTACAGTATACTTGTTCATCATACTTACAACTTTCTTGGTTCAGCTAAATGTGATGTAGCTACAACTGTAAATGAAAAATATGCATGTGGGATTCATCTAAATTAAAACTCTTTCCTTTCCAGGCTTACCAGCTGCTTGTGCTTTATGAACCACATGGGTGATATCCCACCAACAGGTGGCAGAAACTGACAAGGAACCATTCCCTATATAGCACTTGTTCATTTTCTGATAAACTATGAAAAAAGTACTTGAACTTTTGTTGCTTTTTATTTACATTAAGATCAGTATCCATATTTGGGGACCAGGCTGCCAGTAAAGATAGGAGCATAAATGCTTGCAGTAATTTGCTTGAAATTTTCAAAAACTGGAAAATTATAAACAGGAAAACAATATGCTTGTCTTGTAGAAAGTGTGTGTGTGTGTGTGTGTGTGTGTGTGTGTGTGTGTGTGTAAAACCGATGGTGAAAAATGCTTAGGTGTCCGTAATTACCACTCTTCTAGTGCAGCATTTCCATGTTATCTATAACCCATAAAAAACAAGTTTCAGTGTTTCAGTGTTCGGGGCTACCTTATAAAAAATTACTCAAATTGAACTAGGTAAAAAGATATATATATAAATAAGCCTATTATCCATAGCAGTGGTTCTCAACCTTTTTAATGCCGCGACCCCCAACCGGTCGTAAGTCGAGGACTACTCAACTGGTCGTAAGTCAAGGACTACTCAACTGGTGCAGCACCATTTGCAGAATGGGACTTTTGGCGGGCTCAGCAGGGCAGAGACAGCCTGGACAATTCCTATTGGCTTTTGAAAGCCAATAGAATTAGACTCTATTCAAGAGAGTCTATTCTATTGGCTTTCAAAAGCCAATAGAATAAAAGGGAGTAGCACAGCTAAGGAAAAGGGGGGGAAATGGCAGACTGCGTTGTTTGGCGACCCCCGTGAAATGGCCGTTCGACCCCAAATGGGGTCCCGACCCAAGGTTGAGAACCACTGATCTATAGTTTTATTTTTCTGCTAAATAATTTTTATGTATTTTACTTATTTATTCAATTTATTTACCATCCATCTCACTGCAAGGTGACTCTTTGTTTTTCCTCTTGCATAATCTATTTTGACTGATGTGTGTGTGTGTGTGCACGCGCACGCACACCTACAAATCAATTTTTAACTCCAAGCAACTATCCAGACCAGGACTTTTCAACCTTTTCACAGATTGTACCACTTTTAGGATATGACAATATTCGAGTACCACCAGTCCTTAGCAATGTGTCAAAAACTTGATGACTAAAAAAAGGGTGGAGGGGGGATTTTGGGTTTTACTGATTAGATTGATTTGTTGTTATAGAAATGGCTAGTTTATACTATTATGGAAAAGTAAAAAGTTGATGTTCGATGTTAATGCTTCCTTCTACTGCAACAGAGGAAGTTGGAAGTCAATGCCTTTTCTTTTTCCCTTCTCGCCCTCACTTTTCTTTTCCTTTTTCCTCCCCACTGTGTCCTGCTATTTCCTTTTGTATTTTTGTATTTTATTATACAATCTAATAAAATATTACAAACCGTAAAAAAAGGAAAAAAGTACCAGTTTTACTCCTTTTGTATCCTATCCCCCTCCTTTTATATCCTCTCTTCTCTCCCAGGCAACACTGCAGCTTCACCTGACTCTCCCCCCAGGCCTCTCTGGTGCTGCTGCTGCTTCAGCTCATCCACTTTTACACTTCTTTTTTACAGTGCTTTTCAACCCGTCATAATGCATACCACCTGCCAGGTCCCAAAGTACCACCAGTGGTATGTGTATTATGGGTTGAAAAGCCCTGAGCTAGACAACTCTCTGCTGTTTTTGTTGCAAGAATTCAGAAGTGGTTTGCCATTGCCTCCTTCCCAGTTGAGAGTCATTGGCCTAAGATCACCTAGCTCAGTGGTTCTCAACCTGTGGGTTGGGACCCCATTTGGGGTCGAACGACCATTTCACGGGGATCGCCAAACAACGCAGTCCACCATTTTTTTCCCCCTTTTCCTTAGCTGTGCTACTCCCTTTTATTCTATTGGCTTTTGAAAGTCAATAGAATAGACTCTCTTGAATAGAGTCTAATTCTATTGGCTTTCAAAAGCCAATAGGAGTTGTCCAGAATGGGTGCAGTCCCATTCTGCAAACGGTGCTGCACCAGTTGAGTAGTCCTCGACTTACGACTGGTTGAGTAGTCCTTGACTTATGACCAGTTGGGGGTTGCGCAATTAAAAAGGTTGAGAACCACTGACCTAGCTGGCTTTGTACCTTGGATGGAACAAGAACTCACGATCACTCATTTCTAGCCTGATGTCTTAACCACTGCACAACAGTGGCCCTCTTTTGGATGATTTAATGAAACTAAAACTGACTATTTTTAAGTAATACAAACATTCTTTAAAATAATGATACTGTTCATCTTCTGTAAAAAAGACAGAAGGTATCCAATCATAATAATCAAGTTGGAAGGGACCTTGGAGGTCATTTAGTCCAACCCCCCGCTCAGGCAGGAATCCCTATACCCTTTCAGACAAATGGCTGTCCAGTCTCTTCTTTAAAACTTCCAGTGTTGGAGCATTCACCGCTTCTGGAGGCATCTAGCATATACCTGTTCTCATGGTCGGAATGCCAGAGTCAACAAACTTCACCCAACCTCCAAAGGGTCCATTGGCAGTAGTGTAGGCTTATTTCTGTATCTAAAAAGCTTTGAGCCTGATATAACTAAGACAAGATGATGTGTGCCGAAAAATCATTTCAATTAATGTAAGCTACTAGAAAAACAGGAATGACTTGGAAGCAGGAAGGACTTATTTTGTGAGATTTTAATATGCTAACAAAAAATATTATGGTCATGCTAAACAGTCCTATCCTTCCAGGTGTTAAATAAGTACATAGAAATAAGTGGGAGGCTAAGAAGAAGTGGGCTGTTAATAATGTGATACTACCAGCATAATGTCTTATTAACAAATGTCTGTGATAATTGATGTTTGATTTCCTAACATTCAAATGTAATATGGAAAACTTTCACATGCTGTCTAAGACTCTGTCTTCATATAACATCAGTTAGTGTTCTGAGGAACCAATATTCTTTTGACTGAGGGATAGTGATCAATGGAATGGTTTAGAGGGAAGTCATGGGTCCAAACCCAATTTGAGATTCTTAGTAGA